ACTTAGTGAAACAAGTTGTAAAAATCATTTCTCTGGAAAGCAGCATAGCAGTATGTAGGGATTCCACCTCATGAAAAACAAACAAAACAAGTGGAAAAATCATTTCTATGAAATGAAAGAGGATGTAGGGATGTCACATCACGAAAAAGAAGGGAACAAGAACTTAACATTAGTCTGGGAGGGCCACACCCTCAGTCGTAAGTCGTGCAAGGGTCTGGCGTCAAGCTTTACCGCGATCTGTATAATTATACTGATTTACATAATGCCTTACTCGAAATTGTTGCCATTATTATGGTGAAAATTTCCAAAAGGGCGAGGGAGATTCTGCGATCTGATTGGGCTGGAAAAAAATCCTGCAGCAGGGTATATATACAAGTGGAAAAATCATTTCTTCAAAATGAAAGGGGGATATAGGGATGGCTTGAAGCACCAAAAAGGAAGAAACAAGGGGTCATTACACAGCAAAGTTGCACAAAGCTACATGACACCATCCCTATATCTTTGTTTTATTGTTTATAAGCAAAGTTTAACCCTTTGGACACCATGGGTATCTCCTTAAATAAGCGGAAATTGATGTATAATATATTAACGCCTAGTATTATAGACATGATAATACATTCTTATGGACTTATGGAGGCTCTGGGCATATACATGCCCGTGGCGTGCTAAGGGTTAATATCGAACAAAGATATAGGGATGGTGTCATGTAGCTTTGTGCAACTTTGCTGTGTAATGACCCCTTGTTTCTTCCTTTTTGGTGCTTCAAGCCATCCCTATATCCCCCTTTCATTTTGAAGAAATGATTTTTCCACTTGTTTCCACTATTTTTAACAGCTTCTGGCAACACTGCATTTATTGTTACAGTCACTCTGATGTTCATGGCTATGTTGTAGATAGGCTACCATAGATAAATTGAAAGTAGTAGCTAATGGCTGCTAGATACCATGTATTGTCTTCAACAAGGATGTAATTAGATTATTGCACATGGTTGTGGTTTCATTGGCAGGCTTTGGTAATCAGGCTACAACCTGGGGGGACAAACAATGAAGGCCCATTTGACTGAGTGCCCCGCAAGGCTCGCGTAACACCGCGCAGACTCTGGCAAGTTGCTCTTCGTGCATATCAACAGCAAGATAGCCAGTTGGAAATGTGCACACCTTACTTACAGAAGGTACTGGAGGCTGACAGTTCCTCTGCAGGTCTGCCAACTCGCCCTGTAGAATACGCTCGCAAGCACATTGGACAACGCCCCTGCCTGGCGCATGCGCGCGGATCACTGATGCTGAGTAAGCAGCAAATGGCGTTGTTCAGGTCGACCAGGGAAGAGCTCCATGATCTACCGTAGAGACTTACGGCAAGAAAGAAACGATCGCTTGATGTCCGTGCACACCTCCGGCGAAATTGGAGACGTTCAGTGAAAAAATCAGCGCTTCAACTGGTTCTGGTAAGGAGATAGCGGGATTGAAGAAGAAGAAGAAGAATATGATGATGATGACACGAAAATCGTGAAGTCGCGTATGAGCGAAGTCTCGCGTGGAGAACTGAATGTGCGTATGAGGTATTTGGGAACATGTATAGGTAGATATGGGCCCGTAGACTATTGCTAGTATGTTTTGAAGGCCTAGGAAGTGATTCTCACCGAGTTTTTAGTCGTTTTGTACGCGGATCACGTGAGATTTCACCCGTGTCATCCCTATATAGAGAGTCTACCGACTCTCTAATATATCTCTCTCATGTAACTGGTTATGGCGCTGCTAAAGGAGGTTACGACTGATCACTGCCATAACTATCTGCTGTAACTACCATGCTTTGATGAGTAGCGAACACAGTTGTTCAAAGTTCTAAGAATTGTATAACGCTGCAAAAAAAACTGTGCTTAAGTCATACATACACTTACAATATGCTTACTTTTCCGACCAATACAAATTGTCAACTACATAATAAGCTCAAACTCTAAAGAGGAGTCACAATAATACTATGCTACTATAATAATACTAAACTCGTTCAAAATTATTTCACTGGACAAAAGCTAAGGAAAAGCCGAAAATAAGTATCAGAGTTGAACTGAAGGTTGCACTAGCAGCCGATTCTTTAGGATCACTGCCTCGAGGGGCATTAATGATAGCATTACTGATGCCCCCGGTACACAGTCTCGCGTTACCAAGCCCGCACTGAGCCCACAGACCATTGGTGTAGCTAAGATTTGTGTCCAGAGCAAAATACGTCAAGAGACAACAACCGTACTCCCTGTTGAAACCGTTCAATGCGGCCTTGCAATCTTGAGAGCACTGTTTATCAGAGGCATTCTTGCAGACTCCTTCATCAATTCCTGTTATTGCCTCGTTCCTTAGAACATTTATACAGTCTGTTGCAGACGGCGACTCAGAGCAGAAGAAGTCAATGTACGAACCTTCTGTCTGGTTAACACACTCGACTATGTACTCATACGCAGGTTTGGCACAGTTTGAATTGCAGAATGTGCCTTTGAAGCTGTCGTTTGAGTAGAAAGATACGCTGATTGATTCAACTGTTGATGAGTCTTGACAAGTGTCTGGGATGGAATTTCGGAGACGACTACACCTGGGACTAACGGTAGGAGCAACAGTCGGTTTGGTTGTGCAAATTTGTTTCGTCTGTAGTTACGTATCTAGCAGCATCGTGTAAAAGGCACCACCTGCCATTGAGAAAGCCTGCAGGTTCATCTCAAGTGACTGAGAGTCACACCGCGTCCCAGGGGGGAACGGAAGTAGCTATAATATATCTTCAGGGTAGATCCGCCTTACTCGTGCCATCCAGAAGCTAGCGACAAAACGAATAATTATCGACACGGCATACGCGAGCGCGATTTAGTGCTGTACTGCATCATTTGATTGTTTCATGTTATTGAGAGGAAGGAGTCAATTATACTAAAACTAGCAAAGCAGTCATACCGCGAGGCCGCATACATCGTGCTCTGCACGGACTAGGTAGCTAACACGCACTATATTTTGCTAGCTCTATATACACTAAAGCTATGCAGTAAGATACGTAGCTGCACCGAATAATTCGTCCAACATTTGCTACACAGCTTCCTATCTCCTAACTCAACCATGTATATAGCTAACATATAATGTACGTCTAATGTCTGTCTATTTGTGTCCATGGGAGCTACAGGTTATTCTGGCGCTGCAGGCTACAATTATAGCAATTACCAACGGCAATGGGGGCACAGATTGATACTTTAGAGTTACAATGTTAAACAAAGTGACAAGGCCAATTGAGCAATGGCTTACCTGGACTTAGTGCTTTCCCTTTATAGGATCTATGAACTTTTTAGGAACTTTGTACTGTACAAGTGATCGTGCTGCTTTACAGATGTTTGTTGACGTTGTTGATCAACACGAATCACGAATGTGTATTAATAAAGTCTACATTAAGTATACCTTTTCCTCTTTCCTTCTACTATGTACAAACGACAGAGTTCATTAATTATACTACACTGAAATGCTTGTTTTAGTAGAAAGTGATGGGATAGCTTTAACCTACTTAATACACTGAGTTCAACATTAATACATTTGCATACCTTCCTCTTTCCTTCTACTGCGGTACAAATTAAGTATACCTTCCTCTTTCCTTCTACTGTGTACAAACGACAGAGTTCATTAATTATACCACGCTGAAATACTTGTTTTAGTGATGGCATTTTAGTTCAAGTCTGTCTTCTCTCATAGAACAAGATTTCCTCAAATTCACAAAACTTACTGAACTAAAACCAGTGTGTGCTTGTACAGAGGGGTCGGAGCCGCTACGGCCAGTACGGCGACAGCCGTACCACTTTTGCCTGGACTTGCCACCAACTTACCGCGTAGGAACCCAGCTAGGTCTTTACGGAGCTAGCTAGGGCCGCGTAAAGGCGGCGCGCACGGCGCAGTCGCGTCAAGCAGCTTTCACCCCGCCCTTTTGTACGTGCGTCTATATAGCCATAGTTGAGCGGATGAACCTAGCGGACGACGAAACCGAAGGATCTGCCGCGGCTAAATAGCATACAAACGGAATCATTATCTTCTTGTCAAGACTTGGAGCAGCAGATACTAGGGCCGTACCACTTGCCTGAACCTTCCGACGCCCCTGTTGTAGCTATTGTTTTGAGCCAGGTCGTGATATGTTTGCAGCCCAGTGACTCTCTTGCGCTTTGAAGGTTATTTTTCAGCCACTTACAACAGAATTGTTCATTCTTTGTTGCCCCATTGCCAGTATTAAGGCACTATAATTGTACACACCTTAGTGAACCACCATAGACTTCTTAGTAGCTACTTCCAACTGATATGCAATAGAGTGTATAGGTAATGCTATACAAAGAATGTACTTTAGAGCGTGGCTGTTCCCTGACCTTGTTGACCAACACGGAGTTCTACATTTGTATACCTTCCTCTTTCCTCCTACGGTATAAAAATGTCAGAGTTCATTTGTCACCTAAACTGAAACGCTATAGAGATGTTTTTGTGTTGCAAAGTTTGCTTTAACCTGGTCACACTAACGCAGATCAACTTCAATTATAGTCTAAATGCACACACACCTGGCAACAATACACATGCAGTCAGAAAGCTTATACCTAATATTTACAATATTATGTTTACACACGGTTTACTTCCATGGTATCACACGTGCCAACACCTCTGGCTCAGAAATTGCAAAATGTGCAGAGAAGCGTATGTTTACATCCATCTAGAAACCTCCACAAAACAAGCAAAGTAGCAATCTATATTGTACCTCACACATCAAAATCAGCTCTTAAACTTCTTGCCCGCCTGATAGCTAAGATATTTTTCAGTTGACTGTTAACTAGATTATAGCTAGCTATACTATCCAGTGAAAAAAGGAACTATTAGAAGGAACTGGTGGCATGCTGACTGATGAATAGAGAACAAGAATTTCTAAACTACTGAGGATACTCACCTAATATTCTGGGGAATCTTTCTCGTTTTTTAGTTGTGTATAAAACACATTTCTGACTTTAAAGATGGACAAATAATTTTACAGATGATATCATGCAATTTAGTGGCAAATGGCTAATGTGTATAACAGTATGCAGCTTTATGCACAGATTATAAGTATTGCTATATATAATATCACTTCTCAGAGTAGGTTTTGGTGGTATTGTACTGCTTTCTTGGGCCCAGACTGCGGGAGTCCCGACCAGAAGAGAATGCCCCTGTAATCTGCAGGTGTAAACACAACTGGTGTTTCAGTTCCCTATATTAGCAGACACACTGCAGTATAGTAAAGGACACTGTGAATAAAGGATAGCTACAATACAAAAAAGGACACAGTTTAAGGTCCCTATTGTTCACCTTTTCTTTCTATTTTTTAAGCTTCTAGAGGGGACAACCTTCCCAGAGCTCTGCCTCTTTCTCTTGGCATCACATGGTCTAATATCTTCATGAAAGGACTAAACACCTGTTCCAAACGGTTCATTAATTGGGAGGTTCCACTGTTGTAGCTAGCTACATGCATCACACCTGTTGCTGAGGACCAGTGGGGAGAACCCTGTGGCCTTTAGAGAGGGAGCCCCTCTTATTAACAGAGAGTGAGTGGTACAGGTTAGAGGACACAGTCAGAGGATTGTACGTGGTCTTTATCTCCAGCTAAAAGAGAGAGAAAAAATAGCATTGAATGGTGGATAGTGAAGGCTCTTGTAAAACCTCTACCACCATTAAGGTGTTCGGAGTTATCTGTGATAAGTGGTCTCACTTAATATCTTAAAATCATTAGCTCTCATGATATTATGAAATGAGTATATATCATTTTTCTTCCCCTTTTGTTCACTTTTCTTTCTTAATGAGATGTATTCTGTTTAATGCTAAAGAAGGAAACTCAGGGCTGATAACTACAAAGGTTCTAAATCCCAAACACCGTTAAACAGATCTGTAATAACTGAAACATACAGCTCACAGTGTCAAGGGAGTGTTCCACGGCACTAGTTGCCTGGTCAGATGGTTGGTCTTCAGGCAGAGGTACCTCCTGTGGCATCATCAGCTCCTGCACAGCTATGGACTTAATCATGAGGCTTAACGAGGGGGGCGGAGAGGGCAGAATCAGGAAACGGGGACTCAGTTCCGAGTCCTCTGCCACAGCCAGCAAGTAGTTTCCCTGAATGACATTATCATTATGAGAAAAGTGAATGAACAATATTGTCTTTACATATGGTAGATGTGAGCTTATGAGCATGACAGTGCTTCAATTGATATATATCTCTTCTTAACATCCCTCATGGCTTCCAATGGCATGCCAAGAAAGCAAGGATCTGGCCTTTAGCTATGCATAGAACAAAGCATCACTTATGAACTGCAATACTCATCTACAATAACTGTTGCAAGCTATTTTAATATATATATATAGCTACTCTGCAGTACAAAACAGGGGGAAATAAACACATACCACAACAGAACAGTGCATGAAACTCGCACCTTTTGTTGGAGGAGCGACAGAGGGCAGTGAACCACCCCTGGTTTCTCTCCAGTTCCTCCCAGTCCAGTCTCCAGCAGGCAGTGGGCCTCAGACTCAGTGGCATCCCAAACAACACACTCTCACACACACCCTGTTACACACACAGCTATGGGGATACAGACTCTTACACAGACATAATATGTCACTACACCTCTACAAAACAACACACACCCTGATCAAACACGCAGCTAGCTCTTATATACACTGGAGAATGCATGTGTCAACAACAAGGTGAGGTAGAAAGGCAAAAGCAAAGCAAACAGGTCAACTACACCCAGGACAGCTCTTTTTCCAAGGAAAAGGGAAGAGCTGTCCTAGGTTGGATTTTAACCCACGATACTCTGCCGTCTAGGCTAGCACTCTACCAAGTGAGCTAGTACCAGAGCAATGCAGCTGGTAGGGGTTCATCTTCAACACAACAGTAGACCATAGGACACTCCGAATACAAGAACACAAAGGACACACACTTTGATGCCCCAAGCGTTCACTTTTCTATTATTCCAGTGCAATTTTAAACCACCACAAAGAGGACAATCTCCCTATAAAAGTCTCAATGACTGGTCCCAACGTGTCCATTATTCATAGGTTCCACTGTACACTACATGTAATGCATTACCTCTGGTTGAACGAGGGCTTCAGCTCTCAACTTGTAGACTGGCAGTTGAGGAGTTAGAGCAGCATTTGACACCTTGGCGGTGTGAGGACGGACTGCTGGGGAACTCCCTGCATTTAGTGCCTATCAGAGAGAGTCTTGGGATCTTATATAGAAGTACATAGCACCCAGCCCTCTAACAATAGTCTTGGATTAGAAATAATAACATTTTGAAAAAGACGATCTATACATCATTACAAAAAGCAAAGTATATAGCCCAGTCTAGTACCCAGCCGGTCCACCTTCAAAGGGAGAAGGAGCGTCTGGTAGCTATTGACACCAAAACCACGTGTTAAAGACATCATATCCGTATTATCCGAAACTGCTCTTATTCGTACAGCTAGGGCCCCGTCCACTAAAATACATGGACTATGGATGTACGCGAGGTGGATTGGCCATGCTGTGATCTGATTGGAGATCTCGTTTTCCAGACCTATAGTACCAAGAAATGTGTCGATAGTTACAAGACCCCTTAGCCACAGGACGGACAGGTCTGGGCACGAGACTATTAAACGAAGGTGTCAGAGCAGAGTGAGCCAACCTCAATATACAACTCTTGCCGGTTGTTCATTTAGACATATTTGAAGGAAAGCCGGCACGAGTTGTATATTGAGGGTTGGCTCACTCTGGCTCTGACCTCTTCAGTATTTAACAGTATCCCCGTCTCACAAATTCTCTCTCCGGTGTTAAGAAGGGAGTGGGGGTCGATGATCCTGTCCTGTAGGTCACACTTGAGAGTGAGGGGAGGTTCCCCGAGCCTGGCAGGGAGGAGGAGGTGGAGGTGTTCCGTGTCAGTGGAGCAGTCGGCCAGCCAGCCCTTGAAGACATTTGATACACTCAGGACGTCATTGTCACTGTGGACTAGGTCCATCATACTCATCCCTGGGTGTATATACATACATGTAGGTTTGTGGTATACTAATGGAGAAGAGAACTATGATGAGAAGTATATTACTTTGTAGCGATGTATTGTCATGGTGAATACTGAAGTCTAGCTAATGTGTTGGACTTTCTCACAACAGAAATATTTTACTTCAAACGACGTTTCGCTGTGATCTTCAGGCAGATACAGAAACTGAACTGAAAAATACGGCAAACCAAGACAAAAGGGTGGAATGTGTAGTAATGATACCTAGAGGTATGGAATGATGAAAAGTAAGGCTGAAATGAAGAACCAAAGAGGAAAAAAACACAAAGAGAACCAGAAAGACACACATGACACTACCCCCATAAGCGCAATCGTAGAAAAGGGTGTTATGTAGGTTCGACAGACTTCCACTTCAGAACTAATTTTGTCCAACTTGTGTTAGAACAGCCTCATTATGATCCCAGAAAAACTATGCTAGATTCACAAAGTACTGCTATTTTATCTCCATACCTAAACCGGCAATTTCACAATGTTAAGTGAAGGCAACTTACCCAGGTCGACTTGACTGCAGTTCATCTGAGAGGGCCCTGGTAATCCTGCCTCATAGCAGAGCCCAGCAGACCACTGCTGTGGGGCCCGACTGGTCTTACTGCCACTCTGTCCGGGTCACTCACACACACCTACACACCCCAATATATATGGTGCACCTCCATACCCCTACATTATACAGTGGAACCTCAGATAAGGGACCCCTGAGATAGGGACGACCTCTGTACAAAGGACACTTGTTTCAACTCCATGCTAATACTTTAGGGTTTTATTTTACCTCCGAAAGAGGGACGACCTCTTACAAGGGACATAAGCGTCAGCCCCATATAGTGTCTCTCGTTCGGAGGTTCCGTTGTGCATGCAGTACCAGATTGAGTTATGTGCATGAAGAAAATTATACTGGCGTATGTTTAGAATCACGTATATACATAATTATACAGGACAGTCAAACTCATACCTACAAACCTGCAGATGAACCTTTGCTTGAGGAATGTGTCAAATTTGCTTCATTTGGAGTATTTTTGCTTCAAAATGCTGTGTGTCCATTCAAAATGTATAGGCATGGTAGCACAAAAAAAGAGGGATTTGGTGATTTTTTGGAGGGATAGGCAGTATTTTTGCTTGTAGGTATGCAAACTGCAGAATCATAGGAGAGCGAATTAAGCGAGCCCTCCTATTCTTCCGCTTATTCTACGCATACTGCAAGAGAGACATGCTACACAGGCATACTCACCACACATATCTTCCTCAGCTGGTCTAGACTGATGTGATCCGAAGCCCTGGTGAGCCTCTCTCTCACAGTCTCCTCTCTTCTTCCAGTCACTAGTGTCACCTCCACTTGAGACGGTGTCGATCCCAGCGCCTGACACAGCATGCAACATCTCTTGTCAGTACAATTAATAAATAATATGCAACATCCGTACACAACGCATAATCTCGTTCGTATTAATAGTGTAGAGTGTATGGATGTCATAAGTAGAGTTGACAATGAAGCAAAGCGCAGTCATAAACTATGAAAGGCCAGTAGTGCCACTTATAGGAACTGTACATTTATACACATACAATACATACATACATAGCACAGTGGTTTGACGTGTGCCTTGTGTTGCGTTGTGTTGTAGATTCGAACCCCTACCAGCTGAGTTGCCCTGGTAGCTCAGTTGGTAGAGCGCTCACCTAGACTGCAGAGTGTCGTGGGTACGAATCCCACCCAGGCAAATCGGCTGTCCTGGGTGTAGTTGATCTGTTTTTGAGCCTTTGCCTTTTACCTCATTGTTTTCACATGCATACACTTCTCATACTCACTAGCTGTTTAGGTTGTCTGTTACGTATGTACAATGCAATTGGTGTTTGTGCCTTGTTATTGTTACCCAGTGCATACTATGCCATATACAAGAAAAACAGGTTATGAACATGGGTTACAATGGAAACGCTGACCAGCAGATTTGCAACTCAAACTTAACCATTTGCATGCCATGGGGATCTGCTTAAATAAGCATAAATTGATGTAGCTGTAGTGTATTAGATGATTACTTATGGAGGCTCTGGACACATTTATTTGTCCGTGGCTGGTTAAGTGTTGAAGTACTAATAGCACCCTGCATGCACACCTTAGTGTAAAGGGCATAAACCTGTTTAGAAGCCACTTCAGCTACAGGTAATACTGTACGTTTCAGTATAAATGATTACATAACAGTTCACCTGTTTTGAGTTGTGAGATAGTCTGTGGAACTGGGCTAGCACCTCCTGGAGACCATCCAGGAGACAGGTTTCGGAAGAAGGAGCTGAGCCAACCAGACACTGAGCCTCCTGAGCCAGGCACTTGAGGGCAGCACTCACTCTCTGTGCATTACTCCTGATTGGTTGCATGGGAAACAGGCACTGCAGGCAGGAATAAAGATATTTTTGTTTGAGTGCTGGCAACAATGTTTTTATTCAGCTTAATATTATGAGTGAGATATCAATGTTTGAAACTCGTGCCCTGACACTCGATACAGATTTAGGCGTGTCAAATTTTTTACATGAGAAAATTTAAATTGCCTGCATGTATGGGCCACGTGTGTGGATGTCCAAGCCCTATAGCTATACACACAGTAAGTTGTACTGAGGACTGGCCCGGCAAGCTGTGTTGAAAATAAAGTTGAGTGGTAGCTATAATTATGCTATAATATGCAGTTCACATGAACAGGGAAATGTAAATTTTCAATCTTTCCAACAACACATGTCGCATAATATTTACAGCATGATGACACCACTGTTCCCCACACTACAATGCCATGCTGTTACAATATGTTTCTACCTATATACAGTATGTAAGTCCTGTAGTCACAATAGATATTTACTTGAAAAAATAGACTTGCATTCACGAAACTGCTCTCTAGACGAGCGCTCTACCACTGAGCTACGTATAACTATTACCTGTAACTAAGTATGTACGTGAAATTCTATGTGTGTAGCACATGAAATTGTAGCTACATGTCCAGCATGATTAGCTAGCTGTAAAACCTTGGGATAATTTCCTAGTAGAGTGATACTGAGGTGGGAGAGAGAGGGAGCTCCCTGGTGTTGCAGAACTAGACACAGAGTCGACGTCAGAGCCTCGTGGACATTGAGACACGTGTAGGAGTCCATTGGCGGGCTCATGTCCAGCAGAACAGCGCGAGCTGTGCGGTGGTTAACATGCACAAAATGTGTGACCTGATCAAAGGGTGGCCTATTTCAGAAGTTTCCTAAATATTCCTCAATCCTCATCCAAGTGGCGCGGCGATTGAGGGGCAGGTACTACTGACACTCACGCACCCGCTCAGACCGTAGCTACGGCATGCTATAATCATTAGCCACTCGGCCAGCAACCTGTTGTTTCATTACCTGGCTGACGCTGATATACTTTTCTTTGCTCCCTAGCCATCCGGTCACTTCCCCACTCACTAGTTAGTTTGGCGTAACGGCCAGCTGGCATGGGCCACTCACCAACGCGCCACTATAATAGATACGCGCTTTATTTCAGCTTCCCCTCCCCCCGGCCCCCCCGGCCGGTCAGGTAGGTAGCTAACCCTCGGCGCGCATGCGCAGCGAGGGTACTGTAGTTGGGTCTGTCCGTCCGTCCGTCCGTCCGTCCGTGTGTCTGTTACTCTCAATCTCACTTCTCGAGTGTTTGTTCGTCTCACAAAGGATACGACCTACTTAAACGTGTAGTCCGCGTATAAAAAGGGGCGTGCCAGGCAAAAATCGATTAACTTTAGCGCACACCGTGACAAAATGGCGGTGTTCAAACTACTGTCTCTTCACTTCCTGAGCCGCTGGCTACCACGCACCCGTTTCCACGCACTAAAACACGCTGCGTTTGTGCCTCTCAATGCTGAATCAGCGCTTCTTGCGCTACTTGCTCATGAATGCGCTGAACAGCGCTTCTTGCGCTACTCGCACATGAATGTCTGCCTCCAGCGGCCAAGAAACCGGGGGCCGGCGGCCCACGTTTGACTATCCAGCTAACGTTTGGCAACACTGACACAATGGCAGCGTTCAAGGAGCGAATGGAAGCTCTAAAGTCCGCTCTCGCTCCTGCGGGAGCACTGACCTCGATTGAAGCCGGTCGAGCTAATGGCGAAGCTCTTTGACATAGCTGATATTAATTATCTTGTTCTTTCCATCAGCAGAGTCCTGATGATTTAGCCCTAGCCCTAGCCCTCAGCAGAGTCCTGAGGAACATCCTTGGAGGAAGACTGAGCCATACAGCCAGCTTGCACGCACTTCACTATACGTATTATATACACGTGTCACGCGCGTGCGCACATTTTATTACCAATCCGTGTTACGCACCGCAGCTAAGTTGTTCCAGCGTTGCGCTAGCGGTACAAACGAAGGCTCCATACACTTGCCTTCTGGTACGTTTTTGAATTTTACCGCCGCCATGTTTGTGCCAGGCACCGCCCGTTTTATACGCATGCGCACGGAAGCGACTCCGCCTCTGCAATTGCGCGAGCTGTGAGCGCGCAAGAAGCGCTTAGCTGATATTTTATCCGCGGACTACACGTTTAACGGGCAATGGAGGTCAGAATTTTTGAACGGTTTTCTCTGAAAATGCTTCGTTGCAAAGTTAGAGCGCTTCCGCCATTGTACGGCTAATGCTAGTCGGCCATTTTTATCGCTGCGGAAAATGCGCATGCGCTTATATTTTCAACAGGCTCGGGTCGGCTTGCTCTGTGTATCTTGAAGGCACGAGAAGTCACAACGAAGGGCGTGTATCGACTCCCGCATGCTATCTACTACTGTAGCTAGCCCGTGTCAGACTCTGCGAGCTACTAGCGGGAGACCACGAGTAAACGCATACTAATAGCAGCCCAGCCCATCAATTAACGGTACCCCCGCATCCCCTAGTTCGCCGAGGGTTTGCACTTTAGTGCTTTTCATTGGGTCCGTCTGTCTGTCTGTCTGTCTGTCTGTTACTCTCCATCTCACTTCTCGAGTGTTTGTTCGTCTCACAAAGGACACGATCTACAATCTACGGGCAATGAAGGTCAGAAATTTCGAACGGTTTTCTCTGATAATGCTCCGTTGCAATGCTAGAGCGCATCTAATGCCGGTATATAGACGCCATTTCATCGCTCCGGAAATGCGCATGCGTTTATATTTATAATGAATAAGTCTATAGAACGTATTCAGGTATATAAAAATGGCAGGTAGCTTTCTGCTCTCAATGAACATCATCGCAGTTTGGTGGAGTTGTGGCAGTGTCCACATCGGGATGGCTCTAGTGAAAAACATTGACCTGCAATCACTCCTTGTCTCTCTCTCTCTCTTCCTCTTATGATTGCTATTGTATAGCTACATCCTGAAGCACTGGAGAGAAGAATCAGTTGAACTCTGTGCATCTATCACACACGAAACACCACCAACTGAGCCAAGTGTATAGTTAACTAGAGAGTTACAGGCTCCATTCTGATGAATTCACAAACAAGGAAAGCCTAGTTAACCCTCGGCGCGCATGCGCAGCGAGGGTTACTGTCGTTGGGTTTGTCTGTGTGTCTGTCTGTCTGTTACTCTACATCTCACTTCTCGAGTGTTCGTTCGTACGACCTACTTAATTAACGGGCAATGAAGGTCAGAAATTTTGTGCGGTTTTCTCTGAAACTGCTCGGTTGCAAAGCTAGAGCGCGAAAAAAGCCAATATGGAAATACACAACGGACGGGATGGCTTACCACAGTCGGATCGATCCGCGTGCTCTGCGTACTTCTGGGGCACCAGAAGATGCAACGCAGGGCGTGAATCGCCTCTCGCATGCTATCTATCAGTGTAGTTAGCCCGCGTCAGACTCGGCGCGAGCTGGGAAGAGACCACGAGTGACAGCTAAAACTAAACCCAGCCCATCAATTAGTGTTACGGCGCATGCGTTTACTTACGCATGCGCGTCACAGTGCGCCGAGGGTTTGCACTTCAGTGCTTTTCATTAAGTTAGTTTAGAGGAGTTCTGTATGTGAGATCGGGACGGGATGGAACAATAAACTCCACACAACATGGAGTACATTCGCACCACTCGTAATTTGCCGATCTACCGCATTTCTGGCCGGTCTGCTTGCATAATTGCATTATCCTATATAGAAAGGTGTGCTGGTGCACAGAACATTCACTGGTATATAGATAAAGTGACCATCACTGGTATACATTAGAGTTTAAGCCAATTATTCAGAGTGTGATAATGATAATATTTTCTACACTACCATTAAAACACAGCCTCTTGCACGTCAGGTACTAAATGAACACTTATCTGATCGACTGTTGTTTCATGGAGGCATTTACTAGATTATCAGTTTAATGAGGCTACACAGGCAAATCTAGGCAACTCTTTGTAAGTCCATAGTACATGGTTGTGATATTACTTTTGTGTAATGGCATCGTGTTGCATGGCAGTGCCCTGATTCTGCAGCTCCATTATTATATATACCTCTTTGAAAAAAAAATGCATTCTTCATTCATAAATGAAAAGCACTGAAGTGCAAACCCTCGGCGAACTGCGCATGCGCGGTATGTTAGTATCGATTACTCGCGGTCTCCCGCTAGTATATAGAGTCTGACACGGGCTAGCTACAGTAGTAGATAGCACGCGAGAGTCGATACACGCCCTTCGTTGTGACTTCTTGTGCCTTTAAAATACACAGAGCAAGCAGACCCGGGAGCGTTGCAAAGCTAGAGCGCTTCCACCATTGTACATCTAATGCGTAGTCGGCATTTTTATCGCTGCGGAAAATGCGCATGCGCTTATATTTAGCACAGGACCGGGTCTGCTTGCTCTGTGTATTTTAATGTGCAGACGCATTATCTTTCGGACCAGAAGTGACTCCTACCGTGGACAGGTAGGTTAGGATCGTCAACCGCGGTATCCTGATCGAGACCATTCTGGTGCGCAGCGGAGACGATCGCGGGGCGGCTGAATGCGCAATCCGAACATACTCAATATCGGACGTTATGGTGGACAGTCGGACTTACGTTCTCCTGCTTGCTAGCGGGCTGAGGGAAGATAGTACGCGCTGTACGTGTACTGGACGTGCACAAACAGCACAGCTAGCTAGCTAGCTAGCGCCGCGCGCGCCAGGCGCACGCGCGTTACTTCCCCGCGCGCCGCCTGCGCTGCGCGCGCACGCTGTATATTTTAGCGGGGGGTCTATCCGAGCAAGCGCGGCGCAGCAATAGTGTAATGTCACTGAAGAGTCACACCAAAAAATGTTTACAAAATTTACAGTCCTTGTGATGCCTTCCGTGAGGCGAAGCGTAAAGGGTAAGTTTTCCTGTTGCTGACCTTGGGAACTACAGAGAAAAAAAGGGAACAGGAGTTTGTAAATAAAAAAAAAGAAGATGTTATCGGATTTACGTGTTGTCAAGAAAAGCTGACCTGATCCACCAGAAGTACCCCTAGATCGCGAGACTGATCTTGGCTTGGCTCTCCCTCTTCCTCTTTTTACAGTAGTATTGGAGGTCACCTCTGGCTCTACATATTGTGTATGTTGTGTAAAAACATATGCATAATGGTGGTCCTTGACATGCAAAACTAGAACAGACGAAAATGGGGTGGTGATGAAACCTGAAAGTGTCTCCTTCAGAGAGGGGCCACTGGTTTTGCTGCTGACACTGACGTCTTCAATCTCAGACTCTGTACACAAAGGTTGAAACATTGAAGAATGGCCACATTTTCAAGTGTTTGTACAAACCTGACTTATCAGTCGCCATGGCAGGTGTCAGTGTAGAGCCTCTGCCTCTGCCTCTGCCACTCCCTGTCTTTGTTCCACAGCCTCTCCCTCTCCCTCTTTCTTGTCCTCCTCTGGTAAGCCCATGTCCAGTCGTCTGAATTTCTTCCTTCGCATCTATGGTTTGAAATAAAAGATGTTATTGGATTCACGTGTTGTCAAGAAAAGCTGACCTGATCCACCAGAAGTAGCCCTAGCTCGCGAGACTGATCTTGGCTTGGCTCTCCCTCTTCCTCTTTTACTGTAGCATTGGAGGTCACCTCTGGCTCTACAAATTGTGTATGTTAAATAATGGTGGTCCTTGACTTGTAAAACTAGAACAGAGGAAAATGGGGTGGTGATGAAACCTGAAAGTGTCTCCTTCAGAGAGGGGCCACTGGTCTTACTGCTGACACTGAGGTCTTCAATCTCAGACTCTGTACACAAAGGTTGAAACATTGAAGAACGTCCACACTTTCAAGTGTTTGTACAAACCTGACATATCAGTCGCCATGGCAGGTGTCAGTGTAGAGCCTCTGCCTCTGCCACTCCCTGTCTTTCTTCCACAGCCTCTCCCTCTCCCTCTCCCTCTTTCTTGTCCTCCTCTGGTAAGCCCATGTCCAGTCGTCTGAATTTCTTCCTTCGCATCTATGGTTTTAAAAAAAAGAAGATGTTATCATATTCACGTGTTGTCAAGAAAAGCTGACCTGATCCACCAACGCTTCGGAGCGCCCCGTCTGCATTTGAGATTGCTCAGGTAGACACTGTAGCCCGATTTGCATGTGAAACAACGAGTAAGTGGCTCAGCTTGTCCCAACCATGTCCATATCACTATGTAGTCAACAAGCCGACGGTACCCGTATCGAATCAGAAGGCGTCTCCTCTCACTTCTGTATGCAATGTGTACTACTGTACTGTAAACAGAAGTGTCTTAGTTCTACGCAGGTAGCTATCTTATCAGACCTTTGGAGACCCCACTATCTATTCATTTGACATAACATTTTCAGTAGGCTACAGAGAGACGCCCAGTATATACGAAAGGGAATCACCGGCAATAACAGCACATCGAACTCGCATGGGGTCGGCTGGTTTATTTGTTTCATGCCCTGGCCCTAGACTAGACGAGCAGATCACCGCGTCACCCCAGTCCGATCACGGGCGGCGAGCACCCTAGCCCATAGCTCCACATATATATAATATATATATATATACTCAATGTGTGTGGAACACGCCGTTGCACGCCCCGGTAGGTGATCCCAAAGACCTAGCTAAAGCAACTAGGTTGAGAGGGCAACATACAATGTGACGTAAAAACGGCCGCTTCATTCCCCCCATTCAGCACGCACCCATCTGTCCCCTATGAACCTGTTAATTCGCTGACGATTAGGAGAGGTTGAGAGCCGCCGACTTCGCACTTTGCGGAAATCGGTCACTGCAACTGGCTCTGGCTCTGGCTCTGGCTCTGGTTGGTGACAGGTTCACCCACGTGTGTACACGTATAGTGCGCATGCGCACGCCCGGAGCGCACGTAGTAGCTGATTAGCGGTACGCCTGCATGCGCTAAGTACAGTAGCAAGGGGATTCCATACCTTCGCTCAGCTCGCTAGCTAGCAGGAGCCCGTGAGTCCGACTGTCCGCCATAATGTCCGATAATGAGTATGTTCGGACTGCGCATTCAGCCGCCCCGCGATCGTCTCCGCTGCGCACCAGAATGGTCTCCGGCAGGATACATCGGTTGACGATCCTAACCTACCTGTCCACGATAAGAGTGAGCCTGCCCCACTTCTGGTCCGAAAGATAATGCGTCCGAACATTCATGCCGGTCGATAATTGATTACTTACTCTACTTCAACACTTAACCAGCCACGGACACATAATGTGTCCAGAGCCTCCATAAGTCAATAATCATCTAATATATACGCTACAGCTACATCAATTTATGCTTATTTAAGCAGATCCCCATGGCATGCAAATGGTTAAGTTTGAGTCGCAAATCTGCTGGTCAGCGTTTCCATTGTAACCCATGTTTAACCTGTTTTTCTTGTATAATATGGCATAGTAACAATGGTACAAACACCAATTGCATTGTACATATGTAACAGACAACCTAAACAGCTAGTGAGTATGAGAAGTGTATGCATGTGAAAACAATGAGGTAAAAGGCAAAGGCGCAAAAACAAATCAACTACACCCAGGACAGCCGATTTGCCTGGGTGGGATTCGTACCCACGACACTCTGCAGTCTAGGTGAGCGCTCTACCAACTGAGCTACCAGGGCAACTCAGCTGGTAGGGGTTCGAATCTACAACGCAACGCAACACAAGGCACACCTCAAACCACTGTGCTATGTATGTATGTATGTATGTGTATAAATGTACAGTTCCTGTAAGTGGCACTACTGGCCTTTCATAGTTTATGACTGCGCTTTGCTTCATTGTCAACTCTACTTATGACATCCATACACTCTACACTATTAATACGAATGAGATTATGCATTGTGTACGATGCTACATATTATATTAATGGTACTGACAAGAGATGTTGCATGCTGTGTCAGGCGCTGGGATCGACACCGTCTCAAGTGGAGGTGACACTAGTGACTGGAAGAAGAGAGGAGACTGTGAGAGAGAGGCTCACGAGGGCTTCGGATCACATCAGTCTGGACCAGCTGAGGAAGATATGTGTGGTGAGTATGCCTGTGTAGCATGTCTCTCTTGGTCCACAATGCAGTGTGCATAGAATCAGCGGAAGAATAGGAGGGCTCGCTTAATTCGCTCTCCTATGATTCTGCAGCTTGCATACCTACAAGCAAAAATACTGCCTATCCCTCCAAAAAATCACCAAATCCCTCTTTTTTTGTGCTACCATGCCTATACATTTTGAATGGGCACACAGCAGTTTTGAAGCAAAAATACTCCAAATCAAGCAAATTTGACACATTTCTCAAGCAAAGGTTCATCTGCAGGTTTGTAGGTATGAGTTTGACTGTCCTGTATAATTATGTATATACGTGATTCTAAACATACACTGGTATAATTTTCTTCATGCACATAACTCAATCTGGTACTGCATGCACAACGGAACCTCCGAACGAGAGACACTATATGGGGCTGACGCTTATGTCCCTTGTAAGAGGTCGTCCCTCTTTCGGAGGTAAAATAAAACCCTAAAGTATTAGCATGGAGTTGAAACAAGTGTCCTTTGTAGAGAGGTCGTCCCTATCTCAGGCGTCCCTTATCTGAGGTTCCACTGTATAATGTAGGGTTATGGAGGTGCACCATATATATTGGGGTGTGTAGGTGTGTGTGAGTGACCCGGACAGAGTGGCAGTAAGACCAGTCGGCCCCACAGCAGTGGTCTGCTGGGCTCTGCTGATGAGGCAGGATTACCAGGGCCCTCTCAGATGAACTGCAGTCAAGTCGACCTGGGTAAGTTGCCTAACATTGTGAAATTGCAGGTTTAGGTATGGAGATAAAATAGCAGTACTTTGTGAATCTAGCATAGTTTTTCTGGGATCATAATGAGGCTGTTCTAACACAAGTTGGACAAAATTAGTTCTGAAGTGGAAGTCTGTCGAACCTACATAACACCCTTTTCTACGATTGCGCTTATGGGGGTAGTGTCATGTGTGTCTTTCTGGGTTCTCTTCGTGGTTTTTTCCTCTTTGGTTCTTCATTTCAGCCTTACTTCTCATCATTCCATACCTCTAGGTATCATTAGCTACACATTCCACCCTTTTGTTCTTGGTTGCCGTATTTTCAGTTCAGTGTCTGTATCTGCCTGAAGAATCACAGCCGAAACGTCGTTTGAAGTAAAAATATTTCTGTTGTGAGAAAGTCCAACACATTAGCTAGACTTCAGTATTCACCATGACAATACATCGCTACAAAGTCATATTACTTCTCATCAAGTTCTCTTCTTCCACTTATGCTACTCAGTATATAGTATACCACAAACCTACTGTATGTATCACCCAGGGATGAGTATGATGGACATAGTCCACAGTGACAATGACGTCCTGAGTCTATCAAATGTCTTCAAGGGCTGGCTGGCCGACTGCTCCACTGACACGGAGCACCTCCACCTCCTCCTCCCTGCCAGGCTCAGGGGAACCTCCCCTCACTCTCAAGTGTGACCTACAGGACAGGATCATCGACCCCCACTCCCTTCTTAACACCGGAGAGAAATTTGTGAGACAGGGATACTGTTAAATACTGAAGAGGTCAGAGCCAGAGTGAGCCAACCCTCAATATACAACTCGTGCCGGCTTTCCTTCAAATATGTTCTAAATGAACAACCGGCAAGAGTTGTATATTGAGGGTTGGCTCACTCTGCCTCTGACACCTTCGTTTAATAGTCTCGTGCCCAGACCTGTCCGTCCTGTGGCTAAGGGGTCTTGTAACTATCGACACATTTCTTGGTACTATAGGTCTGGAAAACGAGATCTCCAATCAGATCACAGAATGGGCCAATCCACCTCGCGTACATCCATAGTCCATGTATTTTAGTGGACGGGGCCCTAGCTGTACGAATAAGAGCAGTTCAGATAATACGGATATGATGTCTTTAACACGTGGTTTTGTGTCAATAGCTACCAGACGCTCCTTCTCCCTTTGAAGGTGGACCGGCTGGGTACTAGACTTGGCTATATACTTTTGCTTTTGTAATGATGTATAGATCGTCTTTTTCAAAATGTTATTATTTCTAATCCAAGACTATTGTTAGAGGGCTGGGTGCTATGTACTTCTATATAAGATCCCAAGACTCTCTCTGATAGGCACTAAATGCAGGGAGTTCCCCAGCAGTCCGTCCTCACACCGCCAAGGTGTCAAATGCTGCTCTAACTCCTCAACTGCCAGTCTACAAGTTGAGAGCTGAAGCCCTCGTTCAACCAGAGGTAATGCATTACATGTATAGTGTACAGTGGAACCTATGAATAATGGACACGTTGGGACCAGGCATTGAGACCTTTATAGGGAGATTGTCCTCTTTGTGGTGGTTTAAAATTGCATTAGAATAATAGAAAAGTGAACGCTTGGGGCATCAAAGTGTGTGTCCTTTGTGTTCTTGTATTCGGAGTGTCCTATATGGTCTACTGTTGTGTTGAAGATGAACCCCTACCAGCTGCATTGCCCTGGTACTAGTTCAGTTGGTAGAGTGCTCGCCTAGACTGAAGAGTGTCGTGGGTTCAAATCCAACCTAGGACAGCTCTTCCTTTTTCCTTGGAAAAAGAGCTGTCCTGGGTGTAGTTGACTTGTTTGCTTTGCTTTTGCCTTTCTACCTCACCTTGTTGTTGACACATGCATTCTCCAGTGTATATAAGAGCTAGCTGCGTGTTTGATCAGGGTGTGTGTTGTTTTGTAGAGGTGTAGTACAGATTATGTACATTGTCCTGTGTAAGAGTCTACAAGTAAATTAAAAATCCTGCGAATTTAAAAAAAGAGGCATATAGGGATCGTATAAAAAGAAAGGGAGACAAGATAGGGATGATACATGAGCATGGTTAATGAACAGATTTGAGTATGCTGACACCCCCAACCCATCACACAATCCCTATATTGTGCCTGGTGTGCTACTCTTATAGGGGCTAAAGGTTACTAAAAGCAAGCATTCTTTCACCGTGTCCCTGTTGTTTTTAGTAACATTTATACTCCCACATTCCCTTTTAAACTCCACTTGGACTAAATAGCTAAGGGTGTTGGTTACTCAGTAGTGTATTGTAAGTTCTGAGTATTGTAAAATGGTGAATGTTTAAACTTCACCTAGGCAACATATAGGGATTGTGTGATGGGGTTGGGGTGTCAGCATACTCAACTGTCATTAACCATGTTTCAGTGTATCCCATCCCTATCTTGTCTCCCTTTTTTTATACGATCCCTAGATGCCTCTTTTTTAATTCGCAGGAGGATTTTCAATTTACTGTCTCTCACTCATTTTTATATACTTACACGTATTATCTCTTGTGGAAGGGGCAGAGAAAAATGCCTGTTGTCCGTCACGGAAATGATATGCATACCATGTTTTCATCTCCATGTGTGCTGCCGTTAACAAGTTTGAGGAGTGAAGAAGTAATTTTAAACAAAGTGCCTGAGGCTATTTGTGTTGTGGTCGCATGGTAACGATGTTACACACATGGTACCAAGTTTCATCTCCATGCGTGGTACCGTTAGCGAGTTTGAGGAGTGAAGAAGTAATTTTAAAGAAAGGTGCCTGAGCTATTTGTTGTTGTAGTTGTCATGGAAGTGATGTAATACACATGCCGCACCAGTTTCTCATCCTCGCATGCGTGCTATAGTTGCTCGGTTTGAGGAGTGGAGAAGTCACTTTTACAGAAAAGCGTTGATGGGCGCTATTTGTTGTTGTGAGTCGTCATGGAAACGCGATGGTACACACGATGTCGTACAAGTTTTCATCTCCATGCGTGGAACCATTAGCGAGTTTGAGGGGTGATTTGAGAAGTAATTTTAAGAAAATTGGCAAGAGGGCTATTTGTTGTTGTGGTCGTCATGGAAACGATGTAATACACATGCGCACCAAGTTTCACCTCCATGCGTGCTACAGTTAGCAAGTTTGAGGTAGATGAAGAACTAAATTAAAGAATAGAGACTTTTTCACCCAATATGCGGTCGTCATGGAAACGTGTATCGTCACGGAATGATTGTAAGGCATACATACAATGTTTCATCTCTATATGTGCTACCATTGGATAGTTTGAGAAGTGAGAAGTAAATTTAAAGAAAGTGCCTGAGGCTATTTTGTGTGTTTACAAACAATGTGTTGTTGTGATTTTAATGTGAATACATATGTGTACAAAGTTGTTCGTTCACATGCTCTTACCATTGTGAGTTATACTGACACTTGATCCCATTCTAAGTGCCGGGGCCATTTGTTGTGTTACAGTAACATGATTGTGTACAAGAAATAAATTGACCAGTCTCTCTCGGGTGACGAGTATCAACATTCTTACAAATTTCATTACTATAATTATGCTGTTCATTTTGAGTTATGGGGTTGAATCCGTGAAGAAGAGAAGAAGGGAGAAGAAGATGCACAAACTACTTCTCCCTACCATAACCCCATAGCCATAGCAGCTATGATCTATGGTACCATGTCAATCCCTAGATACTAAGTGCTTTACTACCGTACTAGTGATATCCTCCTCAAGCTGTGGGTGAACAGGGTGATGGGTGAGAGTGTGTTGTGTTGTGTGGATGCACTGAGGTCTGAGAGCCCATTGCTGCCTGCTGGAGACTGGACTGGAGGAACTGAGAGAACCAGCAGCTGTTCACTGCCGTCTGTCGCTCTCTCCAACAAAAGTGCGAGGTTCATGAACACATTGTCACGTGTTTCTGTTATGTGGCAGTGTCTAAATTTCCCCTGTGTTTCGTACTGTGCGGCTTAGTGCGTATCGCTATTATATGATAAATAGCTTGCGTCAACAGTTATGTAGTTGAGTGGTGCCAGTCTATAAGTGATGCTGATAACGCGCGCGACGCATGCGCAGCGAGGGTTTCGGTAGTTGTTTCGATAAGGGATGTCAGTCTGTCAGTCTGTCCGTCTGTCAGTCTGTCATACCGCGGCGCGCGAGGACGCAGCGAGGTACACTCTGTTCAAATGGGCATGCCACATCGCACGCGGGCCTCACAGTGCTCAAAGGTCGCTCTTGTGAGTATGTGTGGAATCAAACCTATCGTGCCCACAACACTCTGTTGCTGATCACGTCCACAGGCCAGAAGAGCTGTCTTTGGCCTCTTGGGGATTGGTCTTCTTGGGACAGCTTCCAGGTTGATTTAAATCCCCTATCTTCATGCGTATCTTCGAAACCTGTATTATCCCCATACTACTATATATACGGCAGTGTCAGTGAGACCTGGTTGCTGGACTCCACCTCTCTCAATTACTCTAGAGAGTTTCCAACATGAGATTGGATGCGTCATTTTGCGCGTGCCAAAATTCTACTCCAAACTTGCTGTACATATCGGTCTTCATTGGCCCACAGTCGCTACCCGTACTTCTCATCAGACGTTCAGCTTTCTCAGACAAGCTCCTATCACGAACTAAAGACCAATCAGTCGCAGGGTTTTTTTCTCACTTGCGATGGAAAATATATATGAGACATCCATAGTCCACGTGCAATGTTGGAAGCAAACACTGGGTACGTGTGTCTTCGCAAAATGCCTATCAGATCCTGAAGTGCACCTGACATTTTAGACGACAAAAAACACCTCCTTACTCCGATTTCAAGATTCTACTGCTTTCAGCCACCCAAAGCTGTGGATCAGCTGCTGCAGCCTCTCGAGTTGCCACTCATACATCATGCGCCGTTTATGGACATTGCCCTAGCACCAAGGAGTTAAAGGCACTCGCATCATGCAGGCGATTTTCAAGGAACTCTTGCCGTCCAAGCTCATGTTTCCAGTGTTCGCTATGTGACTCAGTGGTGCCCAGAAACATCTCATGCCTCGAACACGCTTGTACAAACCACCCAAGCGAAATGGAGAACCTTTCATATGACCATTATGATTTCCCTTCTCGTAATGCAGAATCCGCTGTCTCTATTTTTTCATCATGTAAATGTGTGCCATACAGCAGCTGCTTTTGGACCCTTAAACACAGTAATTAAATTGTTGTCACAATGTTGTTTGCTTTAATGTACTGTGCATATGCCCGCTGGGTCACTGCCATTATGAGAATTTGCAACTGTAGTTACCCTCGGCGCGCATGCGCAGCGAGGGTACTGTAGTTGGGTTTGTCTGTGTGTGTGTGTGTGTTTGTCTGTTACTCTGGCATCTCACCTCTCGATGTCTGTTCGTCCCAGAAACGATACCATCTACCCAACGGGCGACGAAGGTCAGAAAATATTGTGGGGCTTTCTCTGAAAATGCTCCGTTGCGAGCTAGAGCGCTTCCACCATTGTACGGCTAATGCGTAGTCGGGCCATTTTTATCGCTGCTGAAAACGCGCATGCGCTTATAGTTTCAACAGGCTACCTCGACCGGGTCCGCTTGCTCTGTATCTTGAAGGCACAAGAAGTCACAACGAAGGGCGTGTATCGACTCTCGCATACTATCTACTACTGTAGCTAGCCTCTCTGCGAGCTACTAGGACCACGAGTAAACGCATACTGATAGCAGCCCAGCCCATCAATTAGCGGTACCGCGCATCCCCAGTTCGCCGAGGGTTTGCACTATAGTGCTTTTCATTGGGTCTGTCTGTTTGTCTGTCTGTTAGTCTATATCTCACTCCTCGAACGTCTGTTCGTCCCAGAAACGATACCATCTACCCAACGGGCGACGAAGGTCAGAAAATAAAGGCGGTTTTCTCTGAAAATGCTCCGTTGCAAAGCTAGAGCGCGAAAAAGCCAATATGCAAATACACAACGGACGGGATGGCTTACCACAGTCGGATCGATCCGCGTGCTCTGCGTACTTCGGAGGCACCAGAAGATGCAACGCAGGGCGTGTATCGCCTCTCGCATGCTATCTAGTAGTGTAGTTAGCCCGCGTCAGACTCTGCGTGAGCTGGCAAGAGACCACGAGTAACAGCTAAAACTAAACCCAGCCCATCAATTAGTGGTACGGCGCATGCGTTTACTTACGCGTGCGCGTCACAGTGCGCCGAGGGTTTGCACTTCAGTGCTTTTCATTCTGTCTGTTACCACGTTTTCTGCCACCGCGCGCACGAAATCAGGTAAATAGCGATATGATCGGGTTCAGTGCTACACTGGGTTGATTTAAAAAAAGGCGATTTTCGTAAAACTACTGCGTTCTAAAGTTATGGCGTGAAAACCAAGTGAACAAGCCAATATGGTAATTAGCACAGGCTTACCTCGACTGCGTCCGCGCGCTCTGTGTATCTTGAAGGCACAAGAAGTCACAACGAAGGGCATGTATCGACTCCCGCATGCAATCTACTACTGTAGCTAGCCCGTGCCAGACTCTCCGCGAGCTACTAGCGCGATACAACGAGTAAAGAAAAGAAAAGCCCAGCCCATCAATTAGTGGTACCGCGCATGCGCAGTTCGCCGAGGGTTTGCACTTTAGTGCTTTTCATTCTAAAGGTAAGATCCTTGCCTCTTACTTATTATCTTGGCATGACATTCGAGGCCATGAGGGATGCTAAGAAGAGATATATTATATCAACTGAAGCACTGTCATGCTCATAAATAAGCTCATATAATCACATCTACCATATGTAACGACAATATTGTTCATTCACTTTTCTTATAATAATACTCAGGTGGCTGCCATAGCACTAGGGCCATAGACCATCACTTTTCTCATAATGATAATGTAATTCAGGGAAACTACTTGCTGGCTGTGGCAGAGGACTCGGAACTGAGTCCCCGATTCCTGATTCTGCCCTCTCCACCCCCCTCGTTAAGCCTCATGATTAAGTCCATAGCTGTGCAGGAACTGATGATGCCGCAGGAGATACCTCTGCCTGAAGACCAACCATCCGACCAGGCAACTAGTGCCGTGGAACACTCCCTTGACACTGTGAGCTGTATGTTCCAGTTATTATAACGGTGTTTGGAATTTAGAACTTTTGTAGTTATCAGCCCCGAGTATCCTTCTTTAGCATTAAAGAAGAACACTGGAAGGTTTTTGTGGATTGTAGGCGTTTTATACACTCACACAAATACAAATCAAAGATTTTACACCATGGAAGCTGTTGTGATTCACTGTGCTTCACACAAGTGTCTGTAGATATTCAAAAGTAGGCAAAAAATTCTTTAAATGTTACTCCTGACTACAACATGAAAATTAAACAGAACACATCTCATGCATGTAAGAAAGAAAAGTGAAGAAAAGGGAAAGGAGGGAAAGACAAATTATATAATTACTCCTTCAATAGTATCATGAGAGATATTATTAAGATATTAAGTGGGACTACCTACCTATCACAAAATTAATGACTGCAAACACCTTAATATGGTGGTAGGGGTTTTACAAGAGCCATCACTATCCACCATTCAATGCTCTTTTTTCTCTCTCTTTTAGCTGGAGTTAAAGACCACGTACAATCCCCTGACTGTGTCCTCTAACCTGTACCACTCACTCTCTGTTAATAAGAGGGGCTCCCTCTCTAAAGGCCATCGGGTTCTCCCCACTGGTCCTCAGCAACAGGTGTGATGCATGTAGCTACAGTGGAACCCCCCAGTTAAGGAACCGTTTGGAACAGGTGTTTAGTCCTTTCATGAAGATATTAGACCGTGTGATGCCAAGAGAAAAAAGAGGCAAAGCTCTTTAAAGAAGCTTAAAAATAGAAAGAAAAGGTGAACGATAGGGACCTTAAACTGTGTCCTTATTTGATATTGTTTTTGTATCGTAGCTATCCTTAATTCAGAGTGTCCTTTACTACTGCAGTGTGTCTGCTAATAATATAGGGAACTGAAACACCGGTTGTGTTTACACCTGCAGATTACAGGGGCATTCCCTTCTGGTCGGGACTCCCGCAGTCTGGGCCCAAGAAAGCAGTACAATACCACTAAAACCTACTCTGGGAAGTGATATTATATATAGCAATACTTATAATCTGTGCATAAAGCTGCATACTGTTAGCTATACGCATTAGCCATTTGCCACTAAATCACATAATATATATCATCTGTAAAATTAATTGTCCATCTTTAAAGTCTTACACAACTAAAAAACGAGAAAGATTCCCCAGAATATTAGGTAAGTATCTTCAGTAGTTTTATTATAAGAATAGAAATTCCTGTTCTCTATTCATTAGTCAGCATGCCACCAGTTCCTTTAAAAATTCCTTTTTTTCACTGGATTACTGAACTAAAACCAGTATGTGCTTGTAGCTATTGTTTTGAGCCAGGTCATATTATGTTTGCAGGCCAGTGACTTTCTTGCGCTTTGTAGGTTATTTTGCAGCGACTTACAACAGAATTGTTCATTCGTTGTTGCCATTTTGCCAGTATTAAGGCACTATAATTATACACACCTTAGTGAACCGCCATAGGTATATATAGCTATATTATTATATCTATAATAGTTAACAGTGAACTGAAAAGTATCTTATCAGGCGGGCAAGATGTTTATAATTATTTAAGAGCTGATTATGATGTGTGAGGTATATGCAATATAGATTGCTTGTTTTGTGGAGGTTTCTAGATGGGTGTAAACATACGCATACGCTCTGCTGCACATTTTGCAATTTATGAACCTGAGGTGTAGGTGCGTGTGATATATACCATGGAAGTAAACCGTGTGTAAACATAATATTGTATATATTAGGTACGTCAGCTTTCTGACTGCATGTGTATTGTGTGTGCATGTAGGCTATAATTGAAGTTGATCTACGTTAGTGTGACCAGGTTAAGCAAACTTCGTAACGCAAAAACATCTCTATGGAGTTTCAGTTTAGGATGAACTCTGACATTTGTATACCGTAGGAGGAAAGAGGAAGGTATACAAATGTAGAACTCCGTGTTGGTCAACAAGGTCAGGGAACAGCCACGCTCTAAAGTTCATTCTTTGTATAGCATTACCTACACTCTATTACATATCAGTTGGAAGTAGCTACTAAGAAGTCTATGGCGGTTCACTAAGGTGTGTATAATTATAGTGCCTTAATACTGGCAAAATGGCAACAACGAATGAACAATTCTGTTGTAAGTCGCTGCAAAATAACCTACAAAGCGCAAGAAAGTCACTGGCCTGCAAACATAATATCATGACCTGGCTCAAAACAATAGCTACAAGCACATACTGGTTTTAGTTCAGTAGCTTGAGGAAGTCTTGTTCTATGAGAGAAGACAGACAGAGTGTATGACTATAACCGGCTTGTGAAGTTATGGAGGTAGCTATCTACAAGATGTGAGTTCATATAAACTATGTATGTGACCTGCTCTGGGAAAATGTACCATTCCGTGCAAATTATAGGTTTTCAGCTATAGCAAAAAAACTCGATGATTTTGGCAAATATACTTTATGACACAGGTGAAAACTATAACCTAGGGTCTATACCCTTTCCCGTTCGAACGAAGTCGATCTACCCCTCTTAGAACGAGCAGCGTGCCCTCGTAGTTGTGTACAAAGTTTGAGATTCTTATACGTCCTGCAGAGCAAAGAGTAGGATAAACATATATACTCCTGCAGGATAGTGCCACATACTTTACACTGGTAAATGTGGGAGCTGCTCAGATACAGATTGCCACATGGGGTGCTCATGTACTCTAGCTATTGCTTTTTGGCATGTGTAAGTGTACGGTTAATTGTTTGCGTCATTAAGCTATAAGGGTGAGGTTACTACAAAGCTAGCATTCATGAGGGTAGTGTCAGTATATAATATATATGTGAACCACAATGCTACATAGATTGCATCACATGCTCAAGGCTATCCCATATATTTCATGGCTGCGTGCATGGTAGAGCTTAGTACTTAGAGTGGGTGGTCTTCTCGTTCACAGCATAGTAAATAACATAGCCCCAAGCAATACATTATTTTAGGACATGGCAGTTAGACCAAGAAATGCAATGAACCATCCCCAAAACTTGATGTAGTAATGTAGACAACAGCAAAACCCGCAAGAACCTTTCTTTAAAAAAATTTTAGTAAACAGGCCTCAGGCCAATTATTTTAAGGTAGACTTTTGTAGGGGACTAGCCCTCCTGGGATAGCTCATACCGTAAGGGGAGACAGAGAAAAGGAAAAAGTAAGTAGGTTTATAGCAGAATAGTAATTAATAAAGAGAGAATAGACATCACACAATCCCTTTATTATGGTGGTGCATTCAACATTATGTTTTTGCAGTTCATATAATTAATTACGTTGCAAGAATGTTGTATTTCAGCACTCCCACAGGCGCGCACGCGACGATTTCATAGTTCAGTTTTGCAATGAGTTCTTGGCTCAGTAAGCAGACTGTGGGTAGCGTGTACTACATTGGGCCTTTTTGTGTCCTCTTTTTGCTTGCCCTTAAGTGACCAGTAGATTGTGAGTGAAAAGTGGAAGATATGCCTTTGTGAGAACTAAGGTGAACTGTATGTGTATGTGGACATTATATTGTGTGTGTGTTGTGTATCACTTATGTTGAGTTATATACTAGAAGGTTCTACAGCAATGTGTGTGAATTGTGTATGTATGTGCATGCATAGAAAGTAGGTCACTTATGTTGAGTTATGTAATCATTCGAGAAGGTTCTACAGCACGTGATTGTGTCAGTATAAGTAGCGGGCGGTGTTTTTGTACTGTGTGCTGTGCTGATGATTTGAGTTGATTGACTGGTCCATCATGTGTCAATTGGCCCAGTGACAGGGCCCTCTGCGTGGTCGATAGTGGCTCCGTCACAACCTTGTAAACCCCGATTGGTAAGATGGGAATGTATGTTAAGTTGCCCTATTCAGACACAAAATTCCTATTCCATTCATGCCATTGACTATCTGTTCGGCTATCTAAGCAGAATGTGGCTTTTTAATTGACATTCCAGCACCCATGGCGGCTGGCGCCCTGCATCGTGCTTTCTGCACATGCGTATTGTACCGCTTTTGGTGTGTATACTTAGGGGAAGAAAGGATTTTTCGGCACACTTCAAAAGTCTCGAAGATGCGGCAAAGATAGGTTTTCTTCTAAGTGTGGCTGTTTGCCTTACTCTAGACAACTTTGTTCTCGGAGCAATACCGGCAAAAAGACAGTTGTGCGACAGTGATAACCTGCCTGCAAATTGCCGTCCTCTCCTTACCACAACCATTACCACCGCTGCGTTCCCAAACGCGACGAGTTTTATCTACACCTACTGCGGTGATGATTGTGCTCAACCGCTCTACAACTACTTCAGGGACTGCGACGTGCCGAACTCCAAGAACTAGCTCGTGGAGAGTTTGGCACGGGCTAGCTACATAGTACTTAGATAGCAAGCGGGAGTCGATACATGCCATTCGTTGTGACTTCCTGAGGCCTCAAGGTACACAGAGCGAGCGGATCAGGTCTCGGTAAGCCCAGTGCTAATATGCATATTGGCTTTTTCGCTTGTTTTCACGGCATATCTCTCGAATGCTGTCGTTTCAGGAAAATTGCCCTTTTTTTCAGGCTCGCGTAGTTCTGAAGCTGGTGGTATATTACCGCGCCTCGTAGCCTGTAGTGCCAGAATAAGCGTCGACACAAACACACAGACACACACAGACAAACCAACTACTGGAAGTTACTAAAGCTAACTAGTAGGCAAATGCATGGCATTTTTGGCGAGCGGGAGCAAGCACACAATGACTGTATCTGCACGAGCCATCCTAGCAGCGCGTAGAAGTCCTGACGCATAACCTCAAGGCTATCTGGGTATATAGAGCCATCCATCATCCTTGCCTGGTAGCTTCTGAGCTGTGCGAACCTGGCCTGTTCAGTTTCCCCTGTTTCTGCAGCGCGTCTAGCTCTTTCTCGTACACGACGTCTCTCTAGTCGTGCTTGCCTTTATTCTGCTGTTTCAGCGGCGAGGCGTTCCCTTGCCCGTTCCCTATCGCGCAGTCGGCGTTGAGAAGCCCGTTCCCTATCACGCAGTCGGCGTTGAGAAAGCCGAGCCTCTCTCTGATCAGGAGTCTCACCGGCACGACGTTCTCTTTCCCGCTCTCTTCGACGACGAAGGGCATCCTCTGTAGACTGATGATCCATGGTTGCCACGGTTGTTAGACTAGCACACATGCATGAAGCATGCAAAGAAGTCGCGCATGCGCACTTACACGACGTACGCGGTCGGTCGTAAATAAGTAAGAAAAATCGCGCCGTTCGGACCACTAGGTTAGCTCGCTCCCGCTCGCCAATTAAACCACGGCGCGCATGCGCAGCATGGGTTACAAACTTACAGTAGTCGTTCGTATGTGTTCGTGTGTGTCTGTCTGTCTGTTACTCTACATCTCACTTCTCGAGTCACGGAGTGTTCGTTCGTCTCACAAACGATACGACCTACTTAACGGGCAATGAAGGTCAGAAATTTCGAACAATTTTCTCTGAAAATGCTCCGTTGCAAAGCTAGAGCGCGTCCACCATTGTACGGCTAATGCCAGTAGTCGCCATTTTATCGCTGCGGAAAACGCGCATGCGCATCGCCTCGACCGGGTACGCTTGCTCTGTGTATCTTGAAGGCACAAGAATACACAACGAAGGGCGTGTATCGACTCCCGCATTCTATCTACTGCTGTAGCTAGCCCGTGTAAGACTCTCCCTCCGCGATCTACTAGCGGTAGAGACCACTAGTAAACGCATACTAAATAGCCCAGCCCATCAATTAGCGGTACCGCGCATGCGAAGTTCGCCGAGGGTTTGCACTTCAGTTACAACCGAGGATTATGCAAACCCTCGGCGAACTGCGCATGCGCGATACTACTAATTGATGGGCTGGGTTATTTATCTCCGCGGAGAGTCTGACACGGGCTATATACCTACAGTAGTAGATAGCATGCGGGAGTCGATACATGCCATTCGTCGTGACTTCCTGAGGCCCCAAGGTTCACAGAGCGAGCGCAGTACACCCACGTTTCATGAAAAAGACCCGTTTATTTTTCAGGTTCGCGTAGTTCTGAAGTCGCTTGTGTGTGGTGTCACTAATAGGCCGCCTCGTAGCGCCTGAATAAGCGCCTGAATAAGCGCCGACACTCACATCTCGCTGCGCATGCGCGCTGAGGGTTAATTGCCGAGCGCGTTAGCGTGAGGCAACTACTCCGGGTTGGATATGTGTATGTATAATTGTACGTACGTATTTACGTGTCGTCACGCTTAAGAATGTCAATTAGTCACCAAAACGAAGTGTAACTTCCGTCATTCGTAGGAAGTCTAGCTTCCTCCGTGCTCGCAGATTCGTAGGAAGGCTGGCTTCGCGCGCAATCAGTAGAGCGCGCGAACGAGCGGCCTCAGTCGGACTGTTTACGCATTGGCTGGCAGGCGCGAGGCAAAATATGCGCGTGCGCATTCCTAGTAAACATGTACATCTAAAAAATGACCCTCCCAAGGCCAAAATAACCAAATGCAAGTAGGTAACTATGCCTAATGTATCCACCTTTCTACCCACAACTATTTTGATATGCCTCTACAGCTGCTGTAAAAGGAACTAACCTGCATTAGAGTCAACACGCGGATCAGCAGAATCACGTCCACAAAGATGAAAAAATGAATCACATGACAAACATACCAAACACTTAAATGTTTGCGTTGTCTGATACAACTCCAAGATAACCCTCCAGATTTCTTCCTGGAATATGGATTGCCTAGTATGTAGTCTTGAAAGAAGTAAATACATCCTTAGCTAGCATCGGATGTTCCAAATTGAAACAGTAGACGTAAGAAACGAAAGAGATGAAAAGTGCAGTTTTAAGGTTTGGTACTATACATAGGACTTGTTGCTCACAAACAACAAAATCGTCACAACTATACTTTTTCTCCAACAAAGGCTGCAATCCGTGGTCGAGGCCTTAGTAGTGACTTTGTACAAGACTCTCCATCTCCTGCAACATGTAGTACGTACAGTTCAAGGTCATGCAATAAGCTAAATACACAATACTTTACACACCTGGTACTCTTCTTATGTAGGATAGTGCAACTTTGCCTTTAGCCAAACATTCGGAAAGTATAATTATACTTTCAAAGCTGTAAACTCTTTTGAAGTCCGGTCTGTGAGAAGAAGTAGGACTGTTATGAACACAAGAAACCATGATACGTAACAGTGTGCAGACACAAGGGACTCAGCAGACACAGAGGACTCAGCCGACTCAGCAGACACAAGGGACTCAGCAGACACAACCGACACAGAGGACTCAGCAGACACAAGGGACTCAGCAGACACAGAGGACTCAGCCGACTCAGCAGACACAAGGGACTCAGCAGACACAACCGACACAGAGGACTCAGCAGACACAACGGACACAGAGGACTCAGCAGACACAGGGGACACAGAGGACTCAGCAGACACAAGGGACTCAGCAGACACAAGGGACTCAGCAGACACAGGGGACCCAGCTGGTTCCCGAGTATTCACACATGCGCAGTGCGTATTAGCGGTAAGCTTATGCCGCGTGATCTTTAACCCGGTAGGATGTCTGTATATTGCTTATTTTGCCGCTCTGGGCGTGTATATACTTCAGGGAAGGAAGGATCTCTACATATTTTCGGCACACTTCAAGAGTCTCGAAGATGGCAAAGATAGCTTTTTCTTCTAAGTGTGGCTGTTTGCCTTACTCAAGAGAACTTTGTTCAGGGAGCAATACCGGCAAAAAGACAGTCGTGCGACAGCGATAACCTGCCCGAAAATTGCCGTCCTCTCCTTACCACAACCATTACCACCGCTGCGTTCCTAAACGCGACGAGTTTTATCTACACCTACTGCGGTGATGATTGTGCTCAACCGCTCTACAACTACTTCAGGGACTGCGACGTGCCGGACTCCAAGAACGCAACGACGTTTGACTTTTTCTGTTCCTCGAACGCAGCAGGAAAACCGGTGCTTACCACAACTTTTGGAAGGACAGGTATCCATCGCTTCTTCGTGCCAGGATGCTTTTCAAGAAACGACGTGTAATGACACATGCAAAACCGCTCTAGCCGCGGCGTACGATGTGCAAGGCTGTTGCCTATTCTCCTACTACGCCGTAACTGGCGATCTGGAGAGTGCAAACGCCCTCTTTACTTTCTGCAGTGAGGATCCAAAGACGCTGTGTACAGGTGGTGTTTCTGGAGGGACACTCCAGTTTCCCACCCCGGCTGTAAACCCAGAGTGCGAAGAGTTTGTTGACGATGTGGACGATTCTTGTCGCTATCTTCTGAGCGAGGATATAACCGGCTCCGCTCTCTTGAGTCTCGACGATACCTGCGGAGACAAGTGTGGACCGGAAATTTACCAGTTCAGCCGAGACTGCGACGAGAAAACGGAATCCTCTAATGCCTCTGCCATTGACGCTCTTTGCGCCGTCAACAACAAAAACCAGCGCTGCGGCGAGTTTTTCATCGAAATAGCGCAGCTCACCACTGCCTGCGCCGGTGTCGACAGTTTATCGTGTCCCGATGAGTGTCGTAATGCACTCGTGCAAGCCCAGGAGATGTACGGTTGCTGCTTCCCATCGCTGGCCTTAGTTATTTTCGGTGAGGAACTTAGCATTTATGCAACCTTGCTATCCACACTCTGCGGTGTACAATTTGGCGATGAATGCGCCGGTCGTTTCACGGGGAACGAAACAGGCCCTACGATTGACCCTCCACCTACAAATGCCATGTGCGCAAGCCTCCACAATGCAATTCCAGCAGCCTGTCGAAACTTTCTCAAATGTCCTCGTATTGTCTGCGGTCCGTGATCCTGTGGGTTCCAAACAAACTTCTGCAAGTCAGAATGTGCTGAACCAGTCTACAACTACATCAACGAGTGTGTTAACAAGACACATGCTCTTTATTTGGACTTTTTATGCTCCACAACGCCAGCCGGAACCAACTGTGCGAATATTCTGAACGATACAGCTTTGGATACGGCTCTCGATGGTGTCTGTAAAGATGCTCTAATAGACAGTGCTCACAAGGATGCAAGAGTGCTTTGGAGGGTTTTAACAAAGCCTACGATTGCTGCCTCTTCACTTATTCTGCTCTGGACACAAATGTCAGTTACACGAATGGTCTGTGGGCTCAGTGCGGAGCTGATAACCCCGGACTATGTACTGGAGGCATCACTAATACAGCTGTAGATGCCCCAAAAGGTGAAGTTGAGAGTTCAGCCCTCGCCACTGCCTTTGGCTCCACTCTGTTTCTCATTTTCAGCCTCACCGCTGCCGTAACTGTTTAACTGAAAGGAAAAACCTGGAACCCTAAGCCATGATCCTGTAGGATAGCTATAGTTGATGAATTTTGTGGCATTCATAGTGTAAACTTGTGTGCCTTAATTGTGTTACACGTGCGCTGGCCCATCAAGTATGAAATTCCGGACCTAACCCTAAGTAAATTCGCTAACACCACACAAGCAACCACCAGCTTGTTCCCATAACCCACCACACAAGCCATTATTTCACTATACAATCACTAGTAGATCTGTAGCACAGAGAGCACAAGTACTGGCTATAGTTTCTATTTTGTTCCTTTGTGTCATGCTTTCTCTGTAAAGTGCCTTTGTTTTCCCTCTAAGTGGTCTGGAACTCCCAAAGCCACAATCAGATTGACTATAGTTGCACTTTTACAGGTCAACCTTGAATGGTGCATGCAGATGACAGTGAACACTTTCCCATAAGGCCATTCATGGAGTATAGCTAAACATCACATGTGCTAGGAACATACACTATAGACGTCATCTCGATTGTTATCCTCCAGGGGAATGATATGGCTAATATATGGGTGGGGCACTACTAAGCTGTAAGTGTAAGTTTCGTTGACCCTCACACGGTGTCATACATCACTAACCATGGTGGTTTAAGCACACTTGACTGAAATATAGGTTAGAACTTTGGGTCAAAACACTTACAACTCTGCTAACTTGATGTTTGGGTTAAAGCTACCCAATAATTTTACAGGTTATAATAATAGCGCTATCCTGAGGTCATTTTAACGTATTTCAGTAGTAATGAAAAGCGCTTGAAAGTACATAACCCTCGCCACTTTATTCTTTATTTCAGCAGCCAATGGCTACTAGCTACACTACGTCAGTTTTTGGCACATGCGCGTTCAACACTAGTTACGATATCGAAGGTTTATCGTGTCCCGATGCGTGTCGTAATGCTCTCGAGCAGGCCCAGGAGATGTATGGTTGCTGCCTCCCATCGCTGGCCTCAGTTCTCTTCGGTGAGGACCTTAGCATTTATGCAACCTTCCTATCCACACTCTGCGGTGTACAGTTTGGCGATGAATGTGGTGGTCGGTTCACCGGGGATGATTCGACTGACCCTCCACCTACAAATGCCATGTGCACTAGCCTCCGCAATGCAATTCCGGCAGCCTGTCAAATTTTCTCAAATGTCCTTTACATATATTTGTCTGCGTCCAGTGATCCTGATGGGTTCCAAACAAACTTCTGCAAGTCAGATTGTGCTGAACCAGTCTACAACTACATCAACGACTGCGTTAACAAGACAGATGCTCTTTATTTGGACTTTTTGTGCTCCACAACGCCGGCCGAGACCAACTGTGTGCATATTCTGAACGATACAGCGTTGGTTATGGCTTTCGATGGTGTCTGTAAAGATGCCTCTAATAGACAGTGCTCACAAGGATGCAAGAGTGCTTTGGAGGGTTTTAACAAAGCCTACGATTGCTGCCTCTTCACTTATTCTGCTCTGGACACAAATGTCAGTTACACGAATGGTCTGTGGGCTCAGTGCGGAGCTGATAACCCCGGACTATGTACTGGAGGCATCACTAATACAGCTGTAGATGCCCCAAAAGGTGAAGTTGAGAGTTCAGCCCTCGCCACTGCCTTGGGCTCCACTTTGTTTCTTATTCTCGGCCTCACCGCTGCTGTAACTGTTTAACTGAAAGGAAAAACCTGGACCCCTAAGCCATGATTCTGTAGGATAGCTATAGTTGATGAATTTTGTGGTATTCATAGTGTAAACTTGTGTGCCTTAATTGTGTTACACGTGGGCTGGCCCATCAAGTATGAAATTCCGGACCTAACCTTAAGTAAATTCACTTACACCACACAAGCAACCACCAGCTTGTTACCATAACCGACCACACAAGCCCTTATTTCACTCTACAATCACCGGTACATCTGTAGCACAGAGCACACAAGTATTGGCTAGTTCTCCCTTATGTATACATGTCATTCTTTCTCTGTAAAGTGCCTTTGTTGGCCCACTAAGTGGTCTGGCACTCCCAAAGCCACAATCAGATTGACTAGTTGCACTATTACAGGTCCACTGCATACAGATGACAGTGCACACTTTCTCATAAGGCCATTCATGGAGTATAGCTAAACATCGCATGTGCTAGGAACATACACTATAGACATCATCTCGATTGTTATCTTCCAGGGGAATGATATAATAATTATATGGGTGGGGCACTACATATAGTATATAGTCAACAGCCAAGGATATCCTGTATGCGCCGAGATGCTGAATTTCTGCTGTGTCATCATGTATAATGAATGCTAATTACTGATGATTGTTGTGTAAACTTTGGAATTAGCACTACACCTAAAGTATATACATCTGGAACGGCTCAGCTGGCTCGGTCAAGCCAGCTGCAATATTTACGTCACACAATTAGCGTAGCGCGTAGTATACAACGCTAAATCAGACAGTAATCCTGGCTCGCTAATGCATCTGCAGTGTACCACGGGCCCACCAAGGCAGTGCAATACTATTACTGAGTCACTCTGGCACGCTAATGTCATTTTGGCACGCTACCCAACAATTTTACAGGTTATAATGAAAAGCACTAAAGTGCAAACTCTCGGCGAACTGCGCATGTGCGGTACCACTAATTGATGGGCTGGGTTATTTATGCCTTTATCCCGCAAGTAGCTCGCGGAGAGTCTGGCACGGGCTAGCTACAGTAGTAAATAGCATGCGTGAGTCGATACATACCCTTCGTTGTGACTTGACACAGAGCGAACGGACGCGGTCGAGGTAAGCCTGTGCTAATTTACATATTGGCTTGTTCACTTGGTTTTCACGCCATAACTTTAAAACACAGTAGTTTTACGAAAATCGCCTTTTTTAAAATCAACCCAGTGTAGCACTGAACCCGATCATATCGTTATTTACCTGATTTCGTGCGCGCGGTGGCAGAAAACGTGGTAACAGACAGACAGACTGACAGACTGACTGACACAGTTACGGGACAACTACCTTAACCCTCGCTGCGCATGCGCGCCGAGGGTTAATAATAGCGCTATCTTGAGGTCATTTTAATTAACCTATTTCATTAGTAATGAAAAGCACTTGAAAGTGCATAACCCTCGCCACTTTATTCTTTATTTCAGCAGTCAATGGCTACTAGCTACACTATGTCAGTTTTTGGCTCATGCGCGTTCGACACTAGTTACTACTATATACAGCAAAGTGAAAAGCACTGGTCTTGACAACCCTCACCACTATTCAGCTACATACTAGCTAAACTACCTCAGTGACTCCTTCACTGAACGGATTCACTGGGGCGTGTGCTGCTCTCACTTCACCGGCAATCTCGATGCTACTCAACTGTACATCAATACAGGCAGACCAGCAAATCTTCTCCCGCGCAAAGCTCCTGCATCTAAGTTCAACGATGGTTCGCGATCTCTATTTTACGCACACTCACCTCGGCAGCCGTCCGTTTCACCAGCTTCCCTGGCCTTCTCCGCTCCAGAATCTTATTTTACCATACATTCCTCCTAGTTGAAAATATGTCCACGTTTCACGCTCAGAGTTGCCGCGGTTACCGAGAAAAACGGTGGACAGACGGACGGACAGACGGAAGGACGGACACACGCACACACACACACACACACACACACTCACGCAGACCAACCCTCGCCTGCGCATGCGCGCAGGCAATGGTTAATGAAAGTGCAAACCCTTGACTAACTGCGCATGCGCAATGCTGCTAATTGATGGGCTGGGCTTTTTGTATGCGTTTACTCGTGGTCTCCCGCTACTATTATTATTATTATCATTGTTACACACACCAAATAAAGGTGCAAATGAAGAAGAAAAATGAATGAGATTTTAAGCTAGCCAAACTATAAATCCTGCAAGATTTGTTTGAGCTCTTGACTTGTAACGTTCACCAGTAAACTGTGGAGGGAAAACAACCGGTTGCAATTGCAGAAATGCGCGCTTATTTCCAGTATATGGACACGCCCCCCTATAAGGTCACTTTATTGCCTAGCGCGTTAGCGTGAGGCAACTAGATACTCCGGGTTGTATTCTCGCGATATGCGTATATACGTACGTACGTACGCACGCTTAAGAATGTCAATTAGTTAAGATTAGGAATGTCACTTCCGTCATTCGTAGTAAGTCTAGCTTCCGCCGTGCGCGCAGATTCGTAGGAAGTCAGGCTTTCGCGCGCAGTCAGTAGAACGCGCGCACGAGCGGGCCTCATTCGGTGGCTAGCGCTAGCTAGGCTGGCAGGCGCGAGGCAAAATATGCGCGTGCGCATTCCTAGTCTACTATAATAGTGAATCCTCTGTGCACCGCAGCAAACCTGTTTCAAGGAAAATGCCATTACAATGGAAATGTTGAACATTGTTGGCGAACGGGAGCGACCCAACTTGGGATTTGCCCGCGATGTTCAGGCATAACGTGCCGTCAGCGCACGGCTTTCCTTTCGTGAAGCAAGACAGATCTACCTTTCGCCGTTACATGCGTACTGTATATTACCAGAACGGTGAGCAACGGTACTTACCTTACGCTTTCAGCGTGGTCCACCAGGCAACTGGCATGCAGCCAGCAGTATGTGCACGAGCAATCCTAGCGTATTATACTATTTGCAAGTTGCTCCTTGGAACCATGAGGATTGGGAAGAGGTATATACAGCCCCGGTCAGTCACCCAAGGTTACAGCGCATGCTGTCGAATGGAGAGGAAAGTTCTGTAGCTGGCTAGATCGATCGGCGCATATCGCGACGCACGTGTGTGAAAATGTGTTGGTTTCGGATAAAAAGAAGCGCGTAGAAAGCCGCGCATGCGCACTTACACGACGTACGAATAGAAAATTCCGCTCGAACGAACGACTAGGTTGGCTCGCTCCCGCTGGCTAGATCGGCTGTTTACGAGTGGTGTGAATAACTAGTGGAAAGTTGAACATTGTTGGCGAGCGGGAGCGACCCAACTTGGGATTTGCCCGCCATGTTCGGGCTGCATAAACGTGCAGTCAGCGCACAGCTTTTCTTTCGTGAAGCAAGACAGATCTACCTGTCGCCGTTACATAACGTATTGTACATTGGCAGAATGGTGAGCAGGTGAGCAGAACGGTACTTACCTTACGCTTTCTGCTCGTCAGTCTTAGTCCACGGCAGCTGGCATGCAGCAGTAACTAGCGTATTTGCAAGTTTCACCTTGATTGGAAAGAGGTCAGTCACCGAAGGTTGCAGCGCATGCCGTCCAATGGAGGAGAGTTCTCTCGCTGGCTACGATCGACGCATATCGAGAAGCACCGTGTGTGAAAATGTGTAAAAATTTGGAAATCAAAATAAGCGCGTACAAAGCCGCGCATGCGCACTTACACCACGTACGAACGCTATATCACAGAAAATTCCTCTCGAACGAACGACTAGGTTGGCTCGCTCCCGCTCGCCAATTCTTATGCTGAGTTTATGTTTATTGTTCCATTCCGTACGGTATACCTCGGAATAACTTCGACATACGAAGCCGAACGCTTCACTAGCTACATTCAGAAAGCTCCTTCCACAGCACTTTTCCTTGTAAAGGTGGAAAACACTATCTTCAGATAGAATGGAGGGAGTGTATATAGCCAAGGAACTGCTACTGCAAGAGATAAGGTTTATTCTAAACAAGTCAAGGGTTAAAGTGCAAACTCTCGGCGAACTGCGCATGCGCGGTATCTCTAATTGATGGGCTGGGCTTATTAGTCTGCGTTTACTCGTGATCTCCCGCTAGTAGCTCGCGGAGAGTCTAACACGGGGTAGCTACAGTAGTAGATAGCATGCAGGAGTCGATACACACCCTTCGTTGTGACTTCTTGTGCCTCCGAGGTACACAGACAAAGCGGATCAGGTCGAGGTGAGCGAGTGCTAATTAGCATATTGGCTTGTTCACTTGGTTTTCACGCCATAACTTCTGAACGCGGCACTTTTACGAAAATCGCCATTTTTAAATCAAGCCAGTGTAGCGCTGAACCCGTTGGTGTCGCTATTTTAGTTGCACGTGGTGGCAGAAAACGTGGTAACAGACGGACAGACGGACAAACCAAGTATATACTGTAACCCTCGCTGCGCATGCGCGCCTAGGGTTGTAGCTAGATGCTGTGTGTGTGTGTGTGTGTTTTTGAATAGATCAGGTGGCGACTTGTCCACACAAGGGCGACTGGCCAAAACGCTTAGAGCTATATTCTAGATTTTTGTGATGAATCTGGAATTACTGTATATTATGGTTCTGGTCTTCAGGGGAGTTCCCGTTTGTTCATTGTGCACTGCGTGTTTCGACCTCTTTAATCTCCCGACACGTGAGCCACTCCAGAAAGGGCGAGGCCACTCCACCTGGTTGGAGTCCAGATTTTAACCTACTACATGGCTACAATTATTACATTACATAAAGGCGATTTTAGTTTAGTAATAACTTGTTCTCTATTCTTCACTCTGAGCTATTACAGGCTGTTTTATACCTTGTTATGTCTACTAAAGTCAAAACTTCCCATGCTGTGTGTGTGTGTGGAACAGGGACATACAGAACTCCCACGAGAAACAAAGATAGGCTTTCCTTGTTGTGCATTTGGAGCCGGTAACTGACTGTTGTTTCATTGACTCCACGAAAATAAATGCAGCATTTTACATACATAAGCTCCTGACCTTACATATGAACCCCACGAGAGTGCAGTAGGCGGTGAGGACGAACCAGTTTTGCTGGTAGCGGTAGTGTTCGCTCAACGGCCCGCATCTCACCCCTGACCCCACCACTCTCCCGCTCAGGATGCTCAGAGTTTTCTGGTACTCCATTCGCAAGCTCGAGTAGCGAACGCACGGCAGCAGCTATAGCTAGCTAAGAGCCCCCGCCTGGCTCGCGCATGATAAAAGTGGAGATTAGTGCACAGTTAGAGAACAGTGTACAGTTACAGAACAGTGGAGATTAGTCATAGCACCTCACTCTACGTGGCGTCTCTTTGTACCACTCTTTGCAGCAGGGGTTTTACGCGGAGTGTGATCACACTCTTTTTTCACTTGTTCCAGATCCTTTTTGAGAGCTTTGATTTCTTCTTTCAGTTCTTTTACTTCCCTTTTCAAGCTTTCCAATTCCTTCATGTAATCATGTGGCACACCTATGTCATCACGTGGTGGTGGCTCCAATGCAACCCTGTCTGCTGTTTCTTTGATGGCCAACCAACGTTCCGGATCAAAACAAGTACTCAGGGCCTCGCCTGTGACTTCCAGACGTGGAATCAGCACTTGCTGCAAAAGACATATTGCTACACAGGCCTCACGCTTCAGGGTTGTGCCACTTCTCCACGTAAAGGAAGGACTGAGGAAAATGATTGGAAGAGGAGGGCCGTCGCAGAGACTCAAGGGGGCTAGAGCAAATTTCATTTGGGTTTCGTCCACGAGGAAACCTATTCCTGTATTGCCACCCCCCACATTCCCCATGGAGCCCATATAAAAAGCCAGTTGGCCCATGTCATAAACTGTGATTGTCTTCTTGGCTTCGACTGGCACCTTGTAGAGGATCTCGTCTCCCATTCTGCCAACTAGGCAGTAATCAACAGCTGGTTTTGTACCTGGCTCATGCAGCCCTCTTTCCGTGTTACACTCAACTATTAGTGAGGATGCATACTCTGCAGCTGATTCCTCATTATACTCCATATAAGGAGCAACGAAGGAAGACATACTGTGGGCAACACGTTTCAATAGTGGAGAAATTAGTTCCTGTCTGACATCCGCTTCAGATCTCTGATACCCTCCACGGATGAGTAGCCCCCCAGACATTTCCATGAGTAGTGCGTTGAAGAAGAGAGCCCAAAATGACGTGTTGTGAAGAAGCTGGTCGCCTGGGCGACCATTGACAAACTCTAGGAGACCCTTTCCAATCTGGACAAGAGCTGACGAAAGTACCCGGTTCTCGTCTGACAATATTGAAATGGGCAGCACGTCGTAACGGGAGGGCGGCAGCCATGGGCGCTGCGGGGTACTGGTCGAGGTAGTAGCAGTGCGTCGGAGGTCGGTTGGGGGTACGCTCACCAACCAAAGTGATTCATTTTCTGAAGAAAACATATCTTCCAACAGCGTTATTGCCTCTGATACCATGGCAGCCTTTGACCCGCACTCCATGCGCTCCTGCGGCTGGTGCATAGTCCGACCACGAGGCTTGCTAGCGGTCACACACGACGGGCGGCCTCGCCCACTAGTTAGTTACGCAACACTCTCGCGCCGAAACGGCGCGGCGTTATGGAACGCCATCAGTAAAAAAAATCTGGAGTCGACCTCTAAACTCTCAGGCGACCCCACAAAAATCGCGCCGACCCCGGAGTCGTTGCGATTTTTGATACTGATGGCGTGCCATACGGCGTCACCCTCTACCAGGCAGGCCTTCTAGCTCCAGCTCCTCCCTCCTCCGCGTGCGCATGCTCCGATCGTTATAATTACGCGTGGGATCGAGTAGACTCGTGCCCAGACCCCGCCCTCAAGAGAGGATGACTATTGAGCGTTTTCTTGGTTGTGCTGACTCGACAGTCTTACTTTGAGACACCGAATCAGATTTTTTTAGCACAGAAGCAAGGAATACATGTAAGTAGCACTCAATCGCTAATACGAGACATGATTCCCATGAGAATAAAAATAAATAAGATGACGTTTGAACAGAGCAAAAGAGGACTCAGACATAGTTGCCAACTTTTCAACAGGATATTCCAGGACGACAGCGGGCGATGTTTTACCACGCCCCCTTAATTTGCCTGCCACACCCACTAATTAATGACGTAATATTCATTAGAAACAGGGGCGGATGTCGCAATCGCGTATTATGTTCGTGAGACGCATGCGCAGACGTTAAGTGGGCGGGGATAATACGAGGAAAATACTCAGAACTGCGAACTATTGTCGGAGAGGACTGCTATTTTGCCTCGACCGGGACACCGCCGGGACAACGCCCAAACTACCGAGACAGTCCCGGCCATTCCGGGACGGTTGGCAACTTTGCTCAGTACTATCAAGACTGTTCCACAGTCTATATAATAGCTGCAGGAACAAACGAGTGGTACATGGAGTTAGTACGGGAGAAAGGATGGTGTAGAGGAAAAGGATGAGAATGATAGGAACGGGAGGTGCAATAAGAAAAACATCAAGGTCAAAGAAACACAAGCTGTTCACAATTTTGTACAGGAAACAAAGTCTAGCCACCTCTCTACGTTTTCTAAAAGTAATTTATCACTCTGTGAGGAAGGAGACCAAATTGCAGCAGCATATTCCAGGTGATGTCGAACCAGTGACTTGTAAAGCTGCAAGAGCATTGTGTCTGGAAGATGTTGGTAATAGTTCCGATAAAGAAGGCCAATCATCTTCTTGGCCTTCATACAGACAAGCTGAGTGTGCTGATTCCACGATAAGTCAGAGGATATGTGCACTCCTAGGTACTTGTAAGAGCTAACACACTCCAGTAATTGACCTCCCAGATGTAGAGGAGATGAGGGTTTGAAAGAAACCTTTTTCCTTGATATCATCATAAATTTACATTTATTGCCATTCAGTGTGAGGGCATTTTGCCTTGACCAATTATTAACATAGGTAATATTCTCTTGCACTGACCTTCGAAAGTCTCAATTGTCTCGGGTGACATGTAGCCCGAGCACAAGTCTCGCTGGATGCTAGAATCAGTGCATTGTCTACGGTAATAGATGAACTTTGCAGCACTCTCCAATGAATTGTTGTCCAGCGAAGTATGGGCAGTACTGTTTGGTGTACATGACAACTGCCAGGAGCTCCTTCCGTGTAGTACAATACTGGCGTTCAGCTTTGGTTAGCAAGACACAAAGTCCTCAGGGGAGTCCATGGCTTGGTAAAGTAACACATCATCTGCAAACATGTGCAGTCTTCCCAGATTCAGAAAAAGTAGTACGTGACAGGTCATCAATATAAATCAGGAAAAGCAGGGCACACCAGAAAGAACAGGCGATAGCGTTGATTAGCCCCATTTACAACCACAAACTGACGCCTTTCAAAGTATACATAGCAGTGATATAGGCCGGTAATTAGCTACTTGGTTCAGACATGTTGGTAGATTTTGGAATGGGAACAACCATGAACAACCATAGAAAGTTTCCACTGGTCAGGAAGCTTGCCACAACGAATAGAGCAATTAATGTTGCTTTTGTTAGCTCACGAGGTTAATATGAGAAATCAGGAACCTAGTACTATATAACAAATCTGATTGGTCAATTCGAATCAGCTATGCACTAAACATGGTAAGCAACTTACAATAATAATTCTAACGTGAAAACATGGTATATAAGGAACCAACAATTGCAGCAGCAAACATGGTATATAAGGAAACTACAACTTCTATATACACATTTTCAACATGATACACATCGTAATAAAACAAAACACGTCAGAGACGCGTACGTGTGCAATTGTGCGCATGCGCGTGGGAACAAAGAAACCCAGGAAAGGGGGCGTGGAATAAAGTTAGCGAAGGTCAAACACTTGCACTTTAGTCGACCTTTCACCTCTATGACTTAGAAATTGGCGGGAGATTTCTCCACAACACAACTCTCGGAGATCGGAGGACACCGAGGTTCCCCCTCTTTCTCTCTCTATCTCTCTCTCTCTCTCTCTCGGTATGGATCGACCGTCTCGTTTCGGCTACCTCTTGGAGCCAATACGGGACCTGACTAAGAACTGGGAGGTGGACGTGGCGAGTCAGCTGGACGACTACCTTTCCGAGGTCACTCTGTCCTCCGTTTTGGCTTGTGCACGACTAGCTAGTGTTGTATTGAAGTTGTGATACTCTCGGACGTCGTAGTTGTATCGTTGGAATGTGTCCTTTAGTATAGATAGTTGAGGCTGTAGGTTACAGGCGGCTCACACTTTTGTATAAAGTAACAGAATGTTTCTTTTGTACGTATGTATGTTTTCCTTACAAGAGCTCTTTTGTGTTGCTGCTTGAGTGACTGGTTCCCTACACCTGCTATTATTACTATCGCTCTGTATACTTTGAGGTACAACACCTATTCTAGTCTTGAAACGAGGCTAGTATGTATTCTCTCTGGAAAACCTTTTCTTGCCTGAACTGTGCAATGACAACTGCCCTCGTGTGTGTGAAACTGTGCATGAAGCTGACACCCCTGACCCCATCACACAATCCCTGTATTTGTTGCCTGGTGTGCCATTGTAAAACTCGTGGTTACTCGGTAGCATTGACCTTTTTGTATTAAAGCTGTAAGTCCTTGGCTGTTGTATAAATGTTTAATACTGTTAAGACTTATAGCTTTAACACATGTAAAGGCGTTTTTTTTCAGTTAGAATGAATTTTCCCTATCTCTTCATTTTACATTTGGCATAGTCTAATGATCTATTATGACTGTTCAACAACTGATTTTACATACCGCAAATGAACCTTCTTGTGAGCACTTTGTTTGTGATTGTGTAATGATGCGTAAGTCGTGATAATGTATAGCGTCTCTTCTTTGTGGTACAGATTGCTGAGATCAGGATATCGTTCGATGGAGGTGCCACCTCTCTCAATTTTGCCGAGGCTGCTCTGCTCATTCAGGGATCAGCCTGCATATACAGCAGAAAGGTCAGAGCTGAAAGTCAAACATTTATAATTTATAATGTATGGGCATTATGGAGGACAACCTGTCATCGAAAATCGCCAGACACACTTACAATCCTATCCTGATCTCAGCAGTATGATGTATTGAATCTCTGTCATTTTCAGGTGGAGTATCTTCATGCACTAGTCTATCAGACACTGGACCTCCTCTCTAGCAAAAGGTATGTATACCTAATTAATCTGGGGTAACCCCTGGTGATGAAAGCCATCTGCGCCAGCGCTCAATTATACACTACATTATAATAAATGATGGTACATGTAATATGAGGGTAATACTAGAAGGCGAATTTAGTACAGGCTAGGTACCGGTCAAGCAGGTGTTTATGAGGCACCTGGCTGGCTCTCAGCTCTTTCTACTGCATGTAGTTGTACCTCGAATCAGTGTATGCACCAACTACTGTATGTAACATATGACCAAAGTGGAAGAGAGCCAGCTTGCTAGAGCAATGCCTCCATCATCTGGAGCTGATGGAGGCCTTTGCAACTTACTACAACTGAAGACAATCCCAATAATTGTACATACCATACATACAACACCTCAGCAATTTCTGCTCTCCCATTGGTGTCCTGATTAAAGGGGTTCCACTCTGTACTAGTGTTCTTGTTATGTAATAATTTTTCGTGGAGAGGTATGTATAATGTATGTATCCACTGTACGTGTTTGTGTTTGATCAGGAAATTGGCTCATGGGTCGTCGGTGGATGACCAGGGCAGAGACTCTGATGTCTCCGTTCGTCATGAAGAGGTGACATCACTACCACATTACACACACACACGCATTAAGTTGCAAACACTGGTTAACCCTCGGTGCTTATGCGCAGCGAGGGTTACTGTACTTGGTTTGTACGTAAGTGTTCCGTCTGTCTGTCTGTTACCACGTTTTCTGTGACTACGTGCAATGAGACAATAAAACAGCGATACCAACGGGTTCATAGCTAAACTGGCTTAATTTCGTGTAACTACTGCGTTCAAAAGTTTATGGCGTGAAAAGCAAGTGAACAAGCCAATATGCAAATTGACACAGGCTTACCTTGACAGGGTCCGCTTGCTCTTTCCGTCTTGAAAGGACAATAAGTCACAGCAAAGGGCGTGTATCGACTCCCGCATGCTTGTATCTACTACTGTAGCTAGCTCGTGTCAGACTCTCCACGAGTTACTAGCAGGAGACCACGAGTATAAATGCATACTAATAGGCCCTGCCCATCAATTAGCGGATTTTTAATAGACGTGTACATATACGCAACCTGTATGTACATACAATTACTTGGGATCAATATTGCTTATGATGTACTGTACATGCATAGTATGCATGTCTACCCAGTGTACTGTGAGTGTGTGTTATTAACTTCCACTCTCCTCATGTGTATGTATAGCCGCTACTGGTGTTGGACGACCTGCCAGTCAGTAACGTTGACATGGGAGAGAAAAACTGTAACACCACTCTAATGGTACACATTCACTATACATACGTACGTACTTGTGTATATGCACTTTATGTATTGATACATACTTACATAATGTGCTCCACATGTATTTTAACTCTATACTACTAATCTCAGGGTGTTCAGTTCTAGGATGGCAGAGTTCTAGTCCCGCCCAGGTCAACTATCTTTTTTCCTTGGAAGAAAGTGTTGAGCCTGGGTGACTACATGTGTACCTATGCAGGTCTTACAATACCCTTTGAAAATGAACGGGCACGGAGCAAGCTTTTTCAATGAAGGAGTCATTATTACAAACACGATCAAGCCTGGCCTTTCCAAGTCAATCTAGTATACCTATATCTC